GATTCTGTTTTTAACGTATTCAGACTGGGATTGCGCCTCGGTTAGGTTATTTGGAGTCTTTGATTCCCAGATTAAGGGGGCGCCAGACGAGCTCCTAGGAGGTGTAGGCGTATGTAGCTTAATATTGTAACGGGGTAAGGCCGGACATCAGGGAAATAGGTTACGAGGGCTAGGGAGGGCTCCCCTGTCTTCCTTACTTCAAAAAGGGACACGGAGATAACAGGCGACTTTCAACAACTCGTCACCTTTTTCATCATCTTATTCAATCAACTTGACTTTTGCACTCCATTCTAGTTCGCCAGATCTTCAATCATGCGGTTCTTTTCTATATGCATTTAGACACTACTTTCGAAATCCTATTATTCTGCCCTCATCCTAGTCTTGATAATGACAGAGGATTGTATCTTGCTCTGATCAGAGCAACCTAGCGCCAGTGAGAGCTTCAATTCGACTTCCAGAGCCAGACGTCTTGTTCTGAGAATTATCCCGCCACGAGTATCAGAGGCACATCCGACCAATGCAACAGGCCCGATGGCAGGCCCAGTGGATACAGGACAAAGGAGGGGAAAGTCACACAGGAGTGGCTACCTGCAGGAGGAGCCAGCTAGTACAAGGATCACAAGTCACGTGACTTACAAGGGTGGATCATTTGGATATGAAATGATCCAACATATCAGTACTTACTTACTAGCACAAACCCTTACAGACTCTTTAGTGGTTTACGCAGCTAGACTATTAGAGGTTTCGTTACAGCCAATAGGCCAAAAGATCTAGAATGTCAGTGGACCAGTGACATTTGGTCCGACTACCTGCTATATAGAGTACTATGCACCTATGTAATTGGCAATATTGTGACAACTATCCCCCGTTTATGGCGCTCGATCCCGAGGCGCGATAGAAGGTTTTAGCACCGACCTTTTTGGAGGTTATCCCGTTGGATTCTCACTAGGGGTACACAACCATCGCGGACCCGTATGGGCCATCCGGGCTCACGGGAACATCCCACGTGTCAGTTCAGGGACATGGTATCAGTCATTAAGACCCCCAAGTACAGCACACACACACATAGCAGACCACCCGTCATATGCGTGTACCCCGCACTTGTCAGCATGCTTTATGAGGCAGTTACCACTGTCGCGCACGGTCACCTGCTAGGTCATACCTCGGCATGCCCGCGATTCTCCGTACCATATGGCTCGACACAACTACGATTCGAACGCTCGTCTATGACCAAGGGCCGACACCCGTACACCGTGATCCGCTGACAGAATTGTCCCTGGGTACTAAATGCCAGTGGATCATTGATACTCGGTCCGACCATCTGCTATATACAGTACTATGTGGCTATGCAATTGCCAGTACTGTGAAACCGTACCCCTCGTATCTACTCTAACTATCTAACGTTAGGTGTTTTAGTATTCTAAAGCGGATTATAGTCGTTAGATCGAAGAGCTTATAAAGTACCGTATTAACTATATAACGAAGCCCGAGTTCTTTCTCGCGTTTAAATGTAAGGAAAGAGCCATCATGGAGGGCCGGTCTCAGCTGACAAGCTGAGTCGGGAGGGTTTCGCCCCCGATCCGGTAAAACCCCGGAGCCACCTAGTCAAAGAGAACATCTCGAGGCGCTCCTACCTAACTTAGATTCCTCAAGAATCATTTTGGCAATATACGCACGTATAACCCTGGCGCATCAGCCGCTCTTTGCACTACCTGACTATTCCCTGTGAGACGTGTCATATCCTTGTTACAAATCACGTTACATGAATTTTATAAGGTTAAAATAAAATCGGGGACCTTCTAAAAATAATTCAATTAATCATATAAAATTAGTTTGTGTGGGCTATAGAGAAGTCGTTTCAAATAGATATAATAGTTTTATGGGATAGCACTGGTACTAGCATTCCGGCTGTATGCGAAGGTGAAGAAGTGAAGTACAGGTGGTGGTCCAAGCCGCACAAGGGCTCTAAAGGCATCTCATGTGTACCTTATCATAACCTCAGGCTATCAATTCCACACGCCCTCTTGGCCTAGGTCAACCACCAGACCTCTTTGCAAGTGAAGCTATTCCCAACCTTGTCGTCGCCCTCCAGCCGACTGTCCCTGTTCTTCAATATGACTCGTCTCCAACCATCGCTGTTAAATGTGACGGCCGGTGTCACGATGCCACGAAACCCACTAGCTGTGGACCCGTAGGAGCACTGGCCATCTAAAGGCGGGATTGAAGATCCTCAGATGTGAGCCAGCCTGTTTTAGTTTCTCTTTCTTTCCTTGTCGAGAATCGTTAAGTCAATACAGTGCATTAGAGTGTTTTGACTCTTCAATTGTGCTCACCGTGACATTATAGTCGGTCTATTTATCCTTACAATCCCCAGCGGCGGGCCCCTTAACTTCGTTGTTTCGTCTGGCGCTTGCACATGATGATAGGGTCCAACGCAGTCGATTTGCCTTTACCACTCCAGGTCAAGTACTAAAGCTCCATCTTCTAATCTGTTCCTTCGCTGTAGTAGGCATTTTGTGTTGCAACCAGCATCGCTAAGCCCTTGGCTAAGCCGGCTACGACGGCTACGACGGCTATCGGCTCCTCCTTTTGCTCCGCATCGTAATCCTCGTATCCGATCGCTCTGAGAGACAAGTAGAGACCGATCTTCCACTGTTGCCAGTTATCCGCGCCAGACAACGTATTCTCGTCTGCTCCAAGGTGAACTGGCCCTAGTCCAGATACGTCGCAATAATTTTCTTCTTGACAGCTTTCTTGTCTTCACCACCTTCACCTACGCCCTCGGGCTTTCCGTCGCTCGTCTTATTATTCTTGGCATATAGCCTCGTCGGGGACACTCAGTCCGATTGGTCAATACACAGTCGATCAGGATGGCACACTGTCGATCTTCCGCTCCAGAAGTTGACACACAGCCGTGGCACACAGCCGATTAGACACTCAGTCCTCTGATTCTTGTTGTCAGCACAGCCGTAGGGGTGACAAACGGGGTTGTTGCGTCGGCAAAGCACACAGCCTATCGCCTGCAACTGCCCAATTGGACACACAATCCACCGTGCGATTGACGGAATAATTGGACAAACGGTCGAATAATTACCGCGTCGGCGACCTCGACGAGTCTCCAGGCATACCAGCATTGCTGAACGAGAGATGCTACCCGCACTGGTACTAGCAATCCGGCGGCATAGAAAGCTGAAGAAAAGAAGGGAAGTACAGGTAGGGGATCCCAGTCGCATAAGGGCCCTAGTGTACCTGACCATGACCTCGGGCCGCCAATTCCATCAATTTGAGGAACATTTTAATATGTAATTATGGTTAAGGACTGCAGGACGACGTTATTATATTATAAGAACATCACTTAGTAAAATGCATGGACGAAATTCCAGTTTAGCGTTCAGATTGCTTTACTTTCCTTACTAGGTATAACCCCTCGATTACTATGCGCATAGATATATATATATGAAGAAAGGATATCGCATATCGCCAGGAGGCTCTACTGGAGTATGGTAACCCTTTATTCAAGGCTTCACATCAGGTTTATAACGTCCCTTGGACATATAGTTAACTAGCCTTTAGGGTACCTTTCTATCTACGGTCTAGTAGAGGATGAATGACGACAAGTGTTGGCCTGCCTGTTATGGCTTACTTTCACGCTAGATATCCTACACGACCGGAGTGTTCGAGCGGTTACTCTTCACTCTGATCGCACAACACTCAGTCCGGGGCTCAGATCTTCGAAGGGCTGAAGTGTGGAAACACCCCAAAATAACATCGCATGTGGGCCTCCGGCATCGTATTTAGCCTTTATGGACATGCAATAAGGACATCTTAGTTGTCTACTATATCTGCTTTGCATGATGTCGATTGATACGAGCCTAGTATACAATTGGCTCCTCAATGGTGGAAAATCGGGGAACTCCAGACAGCTGGCAGACATTATTGCAGTTGACACGATAAAAGCACCATGGCACACCCACAAAGAGCAATTCATCACGAGGCATCCATCTGTATCTGTTTCCGGGAGATATTGGGTTGTCTCGCACTCTTCCTCGGCGCCCCTTTTGCTCCGATACCCACTTCTGCAGTTTTCGTGACTCGCTGACATGAAGCACACATCTCTGCAATCCGTGGAAACCAAAAAGCAGGGAGACAAACACTCCGAAGTTGGAATAATCCCTTAGTCAATGTTTACATGAAACACCCACTCAATTAAGCCCTGCGATAAATTGTAGATCTCAGAATCAATTGAAGCCAGCCGCTGCAGAAAACCGGAAATGCCGTCCCAGAATAGCATAATCACGATCCCATGAATCAATGATCGGACGAGTCATTACGAGGTGATAGGCCAACATAGCCCCACTCCCCTCTCCCCCGGTTAGGCTTCAGTACCCAGTGCCTGTGAGGCTGGCAGCCGGCATGCCAAAAGTTGTGTACATATCTGGCTTGGTCTGGCCCGTGCAGCTACCAGACCGGTGGGGATTTGTTTCGGTCCCCAACCTCGTAATCAAGTCGTGATGTTGATCGACGGGAACGAGAACTCTAAACACAATCACTGTCATGCAATCCCTGGCGCACCTGCGGCCTAACATGGCTGGGATTGACAGGGCTGCCTCCCGTCTGCGTTGGCTCAACAAACTTTTGGGCGGGCGAAGCTTCGTTGGAAAGGCCGAGGACCCGAGAAAAAGATGTTCTAGACGATACTAGCCAATGTCGATACGAGTTTTGCCTTACGCTCCACGGATGATCGCTGTGGCGGTCTGCCTTTTTTAGCCCAATGTGCTATGGGCGGTGGACCCAGCAATTTGGACCCCTAACTTTCCTAGGCATCGGGACATGGCATAGTGGAGCGCGGCTGTGCTGATCAGCTCCGAATGACTTCATCTGAGGAGAGAAAGACGATGTTGAACTGGCTAGAGAGGCTGGGCACACCTAGTGATGGCAATTCTCTTTAGTCACGGATTTGAATTTGCATCCGAGTGTTTGGTATAAGAACTTCAGTTCCTCACTTAGTGTTACCTACTCCCTCTTCCATCACCACCAACAAGCACATTCGCTCAGGCTTACATTTGTTTTGCATTTCAACAAACACAGTCACTTTTTGAACAGAACGCAATACAATACGCAATTATCTAATAAAGTCCCCCGACCCTCAACCGCAAAAATGCAATTCAAGACTCTTTTCGCTGCTGCGGCGGCCGCTGCCACCGTCACTGCCCAAAACACCACCACGGGTAGCAACTCTACCACCCCGGCCGCTTTCGGTGTGCTCTCCATCCGTTCCGGCAGCGAACTGCAATACGCTGCCTGGCAGGCGGCCAACAACGGCATCTTCAATCTCCTTCCCGAGCAGAACGCCTCGTGCGACGACGCCGCCGGCAACTACAACTCGGCCACGTTCCGCATCGTCGACGGCGAGCTGTACCTATACTCGACTGAGAACCCGCCGCAGTACTTCTACGTCGACCGCTCCGGCATGGGTCAGGGCAAGATCGGGTTCACTACCGGTGCCGAGCCGGCGCCTAAGAATGCTGAGCGTGCCGGTTGGGCTGTCACTGCTTCTTCTCAGCTGCAATTTGATGGCGCCGGTTTCTTGGCTTGCCCTGGGTACGAGAGTGATGCTTACGAAATCTGGTTGGCTGGTATCTCGGACCACCCCGGTTACAACTACAACTGCACTGGTGTTGCTACCCGCGTTGTCGCTATGACTGCGCCTGTCAGCTGCTTGTACCAGTCGTAGGTGGAATAGATGGAGAAAGGAATGGTAATGGACTGAACGTATATTCAATTAGTGGCTTCGACTGTGCATACTTTGCAAGCGGTCTCGCATGGGAACGGCGCACTTGTTTAGATAAAGAAAGGGATGAGATACTGACGAATTAACTAAAGCGTATATCATGTTTCCAAATGGTTCGCAAGCTTATGCTATATTGCAAGTGATTCAATTTGTTCTGTTCGAAAATACGTGCATATCAGAGTCCCATTAAATTCACTGTAAGTAGAGAAATCGATATGCTCGGCAATTCCGACTTGAACACTGGCGCAGCCGAAGGAGCACAACCACATATCTACAACGTTGCTGCAATCAATAGCTTTCAACTGTGAAATATCAATAGCGAGAATAGGGGTGCATCAATGGGTGTTCACTCGATGCGTGCCTAAGTTTCCAAGCTCTCGCCGTAGACATTGCTTTTCGCTGCTAGTAAGGCACCAACATGCTCCGTCGCAGCATCCCCCAGCCAACCCCTGTCTTCTTCCGGGAGGCCCCTCCCGCCCCAGGCCATTCCCGGACGACATCGCAACGACACCCGCCGAGCAGAGACAGCCAATCCAGAAGTAGAGGCGCTAACCCACAGCGACATTAGCGCTTGCCCGCGCGTCAGCCGACCCAGACGCCGAGCTGCGCAAGATCTGCTTCGGCGTTGTTAGGTACATTGACCGTCAATGAGTCAGTCTCCGCACGGCCCCGAACGCGTCCCCAACCTTCCTCCGACTCTTAACTGGCTTCTGGCGTGAGTTCTCACTTGGCGCCGCAATGGCGCTTATTTCAGTGCCAGCAGATAAAAATTCCATAGTGAATTGAGGTAGTTGTACGGGATGAAAATGGAAGTTGCGTTATGCAGTTTTGATTTCTCAGTCGGGATGGTGGGGCCGTACGGAGACTTATTGACAGTCACTGTACCTTATCGGCGACGGAGTTCCACCCGGATCTGCCGCCGCCGCCGGGGAAGTCCCCGTTCAGTCTTGCGAAGACTCTGCGCGCTTATTTTTAATCTGGATGATCAGACTTATTTGTATTGTTGCGGCGGTGAATGCTGATATGTATCACCGGGGTGAAGCCAGTGGACGTGGAAGGTGTAGGACAGACGAGATTGTGGATAATGTTGCGTGGATTCATGTAACGAAACGTATAATAGTCTAGCTGCGTAAACCACTAAAGAGTCTGTAAGGGTTTGTGCTAGTAAGTAAGTCCTGCTGCGGAGTCCTTAGCAATAATATCGGGGTCTGACATATGGAGTATAGGGCTCTGGGTAACTGAAGTATTCAAGTAGGGTAACTGGGAATAGAGTCGTTAAGGCAGTTTGCCTCACCAATGGGTTAGATGGATGCTTAGATTGATCACTGAAGTAGAGACTGTCTATCTATGAAATGCCTGGGAGTCCTGTCCCTTATATATCCATCTCTCCTTCACTGATCCTGTTGGATCATTTGGATCGATCCATGATCCTCTCGAGCCTGGCTCGAACTGGATCTATCTCGATCCAATATATCCAGGTACCGAGGTACTTAGTCACGTGACCTTCGTTCCGTCATTCTTCCGATGCGGGGTCCCGTGATCCTAGCGAGCGTGTCCACTCTGGCCTGCCAACAGGCCTTCTTTGTTGGTCCAGGTTTAATGGTTCGTAACAATTCAGAGTGCTTTAATAAGGCACTGGGAAAACTTCAGGATGGAGGGGGGATCTAGACGTACATAGAGACTACTGTGCTGGTTATTATTATAATGCGGGAGGATGTCTTGACTGGCACGTTTTGTCCGTACTTTAAGATGTTCGGTGGGAATTAGGCCGTGATCTCGCGGAGGGAAGAGGTGATTCCACCAAGTATGTTCAGCTATTTAATTAGCTCAACTTGGGGGTAGATACTGCTTTGGCTGGTTGTCTTCTGTATACGTATGTAATGTAGCAGTCTAGTCTATCCACGTTGTCTTCTGTGTGGGAAAAATCTAGACATTCAATGTCATCTAATAAAATTATCCCATGAGATTTACGCCCGCACTTTTTAAGCGTCTTGCTCGTGTAAGAAAATTGTACATTTAATCTTGTATATGACCTCATAATTCCGACTGCGCCGCTTGTCAACGCCGTCGGGCAATGCTTCAGAGATGACCGAAATACCCACGTATCTCGCTTAGTAGCATTATCCTGGTGTCTTCGAACCCAAACTTTCCATATGGGTTCCGTCCCTTAGACTTGCTCCACTGGTGGCGGCGTTTCTCCACGTGCGATGCGCGCCGCCTCCGCATGGATAAAAGCTTCTGGCCTACTCCGCTGTGTTAGTTCGTGCCTGCCGCCGACGAACCAAGAAGGATTGTGAATGAAGATTTCATCCATGTCCTCAAGTTTTCGTTGAGATGTTTCTGGATAGAAGCAGTATACTATGGGGAAATAGCTGTAGCAGATCACGGCGAAGACTAGTCCAGTAAGCTTAGTACTTGGTCTTGGGGTTAGAGTACCACCTACTCAGATAGAAGGCCCAGCGCAGATTGTTGACTCCAATCTTGGTAAACTGTGACAATGCGTCATGTCAGTGAACTGTACGTGTCGAAATAGTGGAAAGCCGAGGCACGTGCCGAGATAGCCTCCTTTCCATCGGATTGGCTACCAATACGAAGGTGCTTACCTGTACTACCACAAATCCCATAATCCAGTTGGTGGCCGTGGCGGCAGCAGCACCACGAGTGCGCCAGCCGAGGGAATTGATCTCAGCCGAGTAGGCCCATGGAACACCACCCCAAGTTGGCCCGAAAAAGACGTGGTAGAGAATGAACATTGCTACTGCAACATTGGCCATCTGGTGATTGTCAACAACATGCCTGGGTAATTTGGTACTTGGCCGCTATACTCACCATTTTCTCCTTCGATGGGTCATCCTCGCCGGCTTTGAGACACAATGCAGCAATGAGATGACACGAAGCGGTAGTCAAAGACCCAAACAACATCAACCTATACTATCGTCAGTCTCGTAACCCCAAATACGCAAAGTTAAGACGTACTTGCGCCGTCCAACGCGGTCAATAAGAAACAGTCCGCAGAATGCGGCGCCCAGGTACAGTGTGCCACTCACTGCGGTAAGTAGCCGACTCATCTGAAGATTAAAGCCCACACTCTCGTGAAGCAAAGTAGGCAGATAGAAGCCTAGGAAACTCGTCAGTGTTTCCGAATCAAGACTTGAATATCTTCGTACCTAACGCATTGATCCCACTAAATTGTTGCATTAGTTGACTCCCACAAGAAAGTAACAGCCTTCGAAAGTTCTGTGTCTTATCCCGATGACGCAGAACATCCATGACCGGAACCCGACTCTCACGTTCAAGCCGAATAGTCGACTTAATAGATCGATACTCCGCCGTGACCAATGGATCCTCAACGGCCGTACCCGCCAGCCTAGCAATAACCCGCATCGCCTCCTCCCCCCGATGAACAAGCAGAAGCCACCGAGGCGATTCGGGCACAAACGCCAAAACAGGGAATATAGCGCACGGAAACACGAGCTGAAAAGCGAGCGGAAACCGCCACTGCAGGGGTCCCCTCTGAAAATACAATCCGTAGCTGATCCAATTCGCCAGACAGAACGCAGACACATTGGAAGAGGCCCCGATGATGAGCAGGCGACCGCGCAGGTGCGAGCGCGCGCACTCGGCGAGGTAAACAGGGCTCATGGTGGAGGTGATGCCCATGCCGAAGCCGTTGAGGACGCGGCCTACAATCATTTGGGGGAGGCTCCAGGAGAGGAATTGAAGGGTTGCACCTAGGAGATTGAGGGTGTGACCTAGGAGGATGGTCTTTTTGCGGCCGAGGTGGTCGCCGGAAATGAAGGCGAGGATAGCGCCGAAGAAGGCACCGAGCTGGGATGTGTTAGGGATCTTTCCTTCATGTATTGGGTGAATATAAGGAAGGGAGGTGGGGACTAGTACCAAGAAACAGCTCGTGACGATTCCAGAGACGTTTGCGTCGTTCGTTTGGGGGAACAGATGCTGAAAATCTTCGGAGACGAGGACACCGGCGAATACCCCCTACACATATCTTCAGTCTCCCAGCTGGTTAATCTGGACAATAGGGGTAGAGGTTTACCTGACAGTATCCGAACCATATGGCAGACACTAAAGTTAATGATATTAGTAGCTTGGTGTTGCCCTCCCAAAGATAGTCAGCAGTCAATACTTACTCGCATCAACCAGAGTGATCAGAGCGATCAGCCAGCCACTGCTGAGTTGGGCCTTCGGAACTGCAGTCATCTTTGCATCTAGTAAATCACACGACGAGGGTTTCACACGGCGAGGATTTTACAAGACGCAATTTCCTGACGTGCAAATAAATATTTTCCATTGATATCCATCGTGCGAAGATACAGCAACTCCTAACCAACCAGCGCATTCCGCCACGCAGCGGTCAGCAAAGAATGTTGGGAGGGTCGCGGAACCTTATCATGCATATTATGACCCCAATCAACCAACAGCGAGGCATTGGTCTATTGCTGGATGCAAAGCCGGGAAGATGCAGGCCCACTTCTCGCGGTAATGGTGGCCGACGACGCCGAAGCCGGCCGCTTCACATGCCGGGCTTGGCGGTGCACTCGGGTGGATCTGGGTCCGCATCGTGAGAGCTGTCTACCAAGCGACGAGGTATAGTACTGACTAATGCAAGGGAAATATTGAAATATATATGTAAAATTACATTCTCAGACCAACTAAACCTGAAGGTACTTACTCTGGTACACGCTGTCCAGCAGTCGCCACCGGGGCCTAGCCTCCCTCTGCATGCCTTCCGCAACCTTAACCCCAAACCCTTTTGCAAACACGACCTTCCCTCCTCCAAGGGAAGACCCTTGACTTCATCCCGATACAGTGCTTGCTCACAATAATCATAGCCGCCGATTCATCTCCCAGCCCCATGACGAACCGTCCCACGGTCATCTGAGCGACGGAGAAGGCGGCCGCTTGAAGTCTGGAGCCGATGAGGAACATGAAGCAACCGGCGTAGATCCCGAATTTGCGTCCACGATTGTCCGCCAATAGACCCGCCATAATGACACCGACGAGGATTCCGTCGGACCCGATTGACATGATGAGCTCCTGCTCCTTGGTGGGACGGTTGTGGCTCAGATCCTCGTGCAGGTTGATGAGGACGGCCGAGATGACGCCGTTATCGTAGCCTGTCTGGTGTTAGCAAACAGTTCCGTTCTCTTTACTTTTGGTCGAATATAGAAGAATACTGGACTAGTACGTGTCCAACCAAGTTGGCTGTAGCTGCTTGTTAAAACGATCCTAGTAAACCTCTATCATCGACTCTTACAACGGCAGACAACGACATCTCGCCAATCCCTCCTATGATGCCGTTACAAAGCCGGCAAGGAGCACATTGCTTTATCCACTGCATGCGTGGTACTTCTTCATGGATACATAAAGCGTCTCCCCGCTCCTATTCTTGTGAGTCAATCAGAGTAACATTGATGGGTAGGTAGATGTATATGAAAGACAAAGCTGTTTCGGGATCGAAGTAGCACTGTGAGCGCTTCATCTCTCACTCCTCGCGTACTCCTTCCGACAACTGAATCTAGTCTCGCGGACAGAAGAAAAAAAGGATCTCGACCCTGTCGGTTATCACAGCCAGGCGCTGCGGCTCCTGATTTGGCAATCAAAAAGCCACGTTGAGTCATGGAACGAAAACTTTCTCGCTACCATCGCGATCCTGCGTAACTACGAGAGGATGGCAGGACTGGCATCGATTTTGATTTCGACTACAACAAACAGCTATGATAAAGAAGACAAGGTCACGAACCTCGTCGGCCTCTCGAGGCTCCTTGATTCAGTGCTGGACTTCATGGACAAGGGGAGGCAACAAGCTGGCTCGTCCTCCGCCAAGATATACTTGTCTCGCTGACCGAGTCGTAATCCCTGTTTGTGCAATTTGTGAAGCTACAAGAACTCGCCATCGTTCGTTAACAAGGATGCTGACGTGTTCGTCGTCAAGAGAGCTCTGTTTCTTTGTGCCTATGTCTTGTCCTATGCTTTCCAGCCTGGCGGCTATTTTGATATGAACGGGGGAGAACGTATTAATTTGAACGCTGAATCGTGGCACAGGTCGAAACTATGGAGCCTCAGGCTCATGTGGGTTGATCCGCCAGTACGGCGGCGAGAAGAGATTGGGATTGCTGAACGTGTTGGTAGCCCGTGCACAAAGTGAGTTGTTCCTACTGAATATATCCCAAATGATACACGACAAGAAAAGACGCAAGTGAGCTAGTAATGAAACGCGAAGTTTGTAGTTGTGGATTATCAGCATTACTACCTCGTTCACATGTCATTCGCCATCTTGCACCCTCACCTACAGAAGCTAAGTTCGATAATCTCCAAAGGAGATGCATGGCAGATGTCAGTTAGAAGCCCCCCAACCCATTTTGATTTTTCCTGTACTAAATTCTACAACTTAGTAGACCATCAGCAACTCCGCCATGTTCAACGCAAAGTTTACAGCATCACTCATAATACAGACGTGTACGTCACCACGCGACTATCAAATGCCCTGTTCACAGACCGGCGGTTGGAATACTTGTGGATAATTGCTTTTAGATCTCGTAGAACGACTGGAAACGCTGGCTTTGAAGATATAGAGAGGCAAATCGGGTGGCGCACGAAATATACCTTTCACAAGTTAATCACCGAGTGGTCTACTGGCTAATAAAATCTATTTTAATTTTAGCCTGTAGGCCCAATTGAGAACCTCTAGGTGTCCCATGCTTGTGAGCACGAAATATTTACAGATATACAAGTCCCTCTTTATTCATGGAACCGGCGGCGGTCAGGAAACTCCCCCCACGCATTTTTCAAGGTTTTCTGTCTGCAAGTCGCTTAGTCAAATCAAGTGACGACGGTGCAGCTTCTGATAAGTGACTCACGCCTGTGAAGTAGACCACCTGTACTCTCTCTCCGTCCCAACGAGGATATCGAGCAGGGACTCTTGATCTCCATGATCAGTGAAGCGGTCTCCAGCCAAGGCGATTGCCATGCATGCGGCTCTGCAGTAGGTCAGCAAAAGTCTCTTCCAAGCTACGACAAGGGAAATCAGGGGAAATATGAGCACATACATGTGTGAAGGGTTCATCCGATCGATCGACTCGGCAATCCCACAAACCATCCTCACATCATTCCTAACTATTTTCTGATAAAGCACAGATGTTTTAGAGACCCCAAGGGTGCTACCAAGGCCATGGTGATGACTCACATCCACCGAGCGGAAAGGGGCTCGCTGGCCCCCCTGGACCAGCCGGGGAACGCTGGGATCGTAAGCTGTCAAGAGTAAGTGGGTGAGAAAGTAGTACTGCAATCCAAGAACCACCGGCTCGCTCAAAAGTATAACCTCTGGAAACGGGTTTTCGCCATTCCTGCCACGGATGAAGATCGGGTCGAAGCTGTCTGGTTTGCGTCTCTCCCAAGCATGAGCATACTCCACTAGCTTTTCGTACTCCGCAAAAGTTTGGTTGTACCCGAAACAGTATTGTATTACTTCTTCGAAATGCCAAATAATCCTCTGCGTCCACACTTTGTCATCAGCCGTTGTCAGCGACTTGTCGATGATACATTGGTCCTTTTCCGAGTTTGTAGGCTTTCGATGCATGACGGCGAGGTAGAGTTTTTGTCGCAGATCAATCATGAAGACGGCTTCTCGTAGTTCGTTAAATGGCGGCGAGCAATCCTTGCATACTTCGAAGCATTTGCTGAGAGATCGAGGTAGCGCGCAGTGGTCCTGGATCGGGGCTGAACACATCACATTCTTTAGCTAATGCGTGCAGAGCTTAAGATCCTATGGGATCACACGATGAACCCCAACAAGGAAAATAAAAAAACCATATGATAATAAACATATAGTCGGCCATTGGCGTGCAACGATGATATGACAAACACGGAAAAAGAAATACCTGAAATGGTATCCATACCTTGGATCTGATCAAAGAATTGAACCAAGACCGCAACAGCTGAAACATCCTCGTTTACCCCGGGAGAACAACCGACCGAGACAGTTGTCAGGCATCGCAAGCACTCATGACGAAAAAACACTCCCTCGTCGACTGGCCGCGTACTTACCATCGGGTGAAACCCTTTTGCCGACACAGCCAGGATAGCGTTGGACAGAGCCGGGCATCGCGTAGCCTGCTTAAAAATGGCCCGGGTGAAGCTTTTTTGCTGGTTCCCAAAATCAAAGGCCGGGGCAATTCGTTGTGCGAAGAAGTGCAGGAGTTCAAGATGATGAGCGTCTTCGGAGTGAAGTGGTAGTTCGTTTGGGCGAATGAACAAACTCTCTGCTACAGGTACCGAAGTCGAACTTGGAGTATGTAGTGAGCTTGTCTTCGCGGCGTATACGTTCGAAACATCTTCCGCAACCCGGATTGCGGAATGCACAGCCGGCTGAACCGTTGAGCAAGGGGCTGAGCTAGTGGACGTCCCTGACCGAGTCTCCCGATCTGCCCACGACGATGATGTCCTTAGCTGAGGAATGATCCGTGAAGTCGGCGCTGAAATACCGGTTTCGGGTGGTGTATTCTCATCGGAGTCAACCCCCGTCTCGTACAAGGCGGCTAGGTCTTCAGTCTCATCCACATATCTGATCCGCTTATTCATCGTTTTGCACCATTTCTGACCGGAAGGGAAGTTATGATGGTTCCCATCAAGTCTACTTGGTTCTTCAGATATTTACAGAAGATTGTGCGGCGGTGCAGTATGATTACATGAACAACACTCACCCTGGATTATAGGCGTAGCGGAAGCGGACCTTCGTACCACCGACGCAGGTTTGACCCCTTTTGACACAAGTGGCGCAAGGCTCCTGTCTGTCACCTATGCGGGTGTAATTGATGAGACATTTTCTCCGACAAATGTGACATGCTTACTCACATTTGAGATGACTAAAGACCCGGACAATTTATTAGCAGAGCTTTTCGTAGTGAGCCAGCGAGTTTCTTGCCTTTTTCGGCAGCCCTCCACAGATAATCTACATGTTAACACGTCACGATTATTGGAGTTGGGGTGGAGTCCCTGCCTACTTCGCAACCTCGTCGTCTCTCCTCTTTCTCTAATGAGGACATAGTCAATTGAATACTAGTGGATGTAGACCCTCCTCTAGCCCGAGATTCACGTCTGCATAACATTGACCGGTGGCTGACGAGAACGAGACATGTACCATATACACCATCTTCCCCAACAGAAAGTTGGCTCGCTCTCTAGTTTTTATATCCTCGTTTAGCTATCCAGGGAAGCCATGAATTTGTATCCAAGCGGCCTGGAATAAAGATGGGATAAATCTTAAGTTTAGGTAGTGAGGGCCCCTCATTGTACCAAAGGAGGTCCCACATCTCGAGATCGCATATTGAAACTCGGCACTTACACAGAAGATTACAATATCAGACGGCGGAGAGGTGAATACTTATAAGCCAGAACCATTGTCCATCTCATTCCAAATATGCTTCTGGTGGGCCCAATGGCACTACCACCGTACCGAATCTTCCAAATTCAAACTTGTTCTCCGACCAATGATATCTGCTATATACAATAATTGCCAGACGTGCCACTGGATCACATGCTTATGTCCTGCAGATCTTCACGAAACTGTGTTCCTCTTGCGACTGCCGCCAAGCTCCCTGTAACTCGAGGCAGCTCGTACCTTTTGATTTCCATACCACACTTTCATATTACCGGTACCAACCTAATTAAAAATCGGCTAACTGAAGAGTATCTACCAGACATTCACCGTGGACCCCAAACATTGTTGTTCCCTAGTAACGCTTTTACAACTTCCCTGCCCTCATGCGCCTTATGCGCGACCAATCCCTTCCCCGGATTCTCATCTGGCCCGGGATCACCCGTAACCAACACACGCCTCGTATGCTCATGTCCAACCTCTAACACTGTGCCCCCTACCAACTCCACCTCCTCCACACACCTCAACATCGCCTCCGCCACTTCCTCAGGCGTGGCCCACGCATCCCGCTGCTGATCCACGTACCGTAGCTTATCGGGGTTATCCGTCCACAACGGGGTTTTAATCAGCCCAGGGGCAACGGCGTTGACGCGAATCCCGTCTGATTCCTCAAGAGGGGCGAGACATCGGACCAGGCCTGAGATGGCGGATTTGGACGCCCCATAGAGAGGGGCGTTAAGGTTGGGGACTTGGGCGGCTATGGAGGAGATGTGGATAACGCGTTTTGGGTTGCTGGGGGATACTTTGGCCTGAGCTGTTTTGGGATGCAGCCAGTGCGATATAGCAAGCTGGGTTGCGCGAATGGGGTGGGTTAGGTTGATGTCGAGGAGGGCGTAGTGGCCTGCGTCAAGGGCGTCCTTGCTTCCGGGTGAGCCGGGAGGGCTGTGAAATGTTATGTCAGTGATGATCAAAATGGGCAGGTTCATTTGCGGGATTTTGGGGTGAAAGCGGCCAGATTCTGTGAGAACAGAAACATCGACTTACTGCCAAAAGCTGGACCAATCCGGCTCGTATACGCCAGCTCCAGGGCAGACGATATCAAATGTGCCAAAATCGGCTATGGTAGCATCGAACATATGACCCAACGCTGGCCAGGAGCTCACGTCTGTCTTGACGAAGATCGCTCGCGGCGTCTTCCCGTGGTCGCTGTAGCTATCAATGACGGCTTGAGCTTCAGGTCGAAGTGACAGGTCTACAAGCACGACATTGCAGTTACGACTGAGTAACAGTTTTGCAAAGGCAAGATTGATGCCTGGGCTTAGTTAGTCTTCAAACTTGGAATTTCGCTGTCAAGCAAGCATACCTGATCCGGCACCTGTGACAATGGCTGTCCTGCCAGACACGGAGAAAGGAGACCGGAACGTTTCCATGCTGATTGGAATCGTATGTGTGATGAAGCTGTGTAGTATTGAAACTAAACTGTCATTTTGAGACTTTTAACATGGACAGGAAGCGATGAAGTCTGGTGGAAGCTTTACATGATATGCCATAATAATTGGCAATACTTGGCATAGGACGAGGGGTTTCTGTGGAGTGCGGAGACAATTACGAGTCCATATTCCTTCTTCGTTGAGGATTGGTGACTTACCCCGACCGGAGGACACAGTGGAGCTGGCTGTTCACCCTCGGGGCATATATCCACGAACTGAATTTCGGCTTACCCAGTATGGAATTGGAGAGTTGAGTTACCCTTAAAAAAGTGCCACAGAAAATTTCGCAGGACCTTGATGCCCGTTGTTCTAAATCAATAATCGATCTTGATACTAGTGTGGTATAATTATCCGAATTTGCAGCTGTGAAGGCTGCTGATTTAATTCCATCTCCGCTTCTATTAAGGGAATAATATGACCGTCTGGAGCTTCACAAGGGCCCGACCGACGAAGGGCAGAGACTTCCTAATCGTGAAACTTACGGCCGAGGAGCAGGATGTCGAGGCAATACGCTATTAGAAATAGAAGAACGAGTGACTTCTTGCTGTATGAATCCCTGCTGGGGGCGACCTATGGTTAAACAGACTGTAAACATGAACCTTCAAAGCTAAATTATTGCAAAGTGATCACACAGGCCGTCTAACACGTCACTTCAACCCGAATAACTGTTGACGTATTTCAGTACCTTGACACAGCACACTGTTTGGCCGAAGAGTGTGTTAGTTCCGATAGAGTGATCTTATATATTCTCAAGGTAAAATATATGCGTCGGTCGGCTGGTGTAGTTGGTCACTTCGCTGGTAGATAAGTCCCGATTTCAGCCTCACCCACTTGGGTCGGTGACGAGTCGCGGGTTCGAATCCTGCAGCTGACACACAAGGGGGTTTAGTCAACCCTTATGGCGCGCTGCCCACCTTGTTGACTTCGCCTACCTAGCGATAATAGGGAGATTGGTGCAGTTTAGGATTACGAGCATCCTAGCCAGTCGACCGTCAAGCACTACGTCGGCGGAATATAACTCGACAGCCGGTCCAGAATTCGAATCGTTAATCCGACCCCTTATCGGACCTCGCCTTTCCGATAACGCTCGTCGGCGAACCCGTCCCCTCACGATAGAAGGCGCGCAGCACGCCCTCTCGCCGCGATTCTTGCGAGCGTCTGACCACGTTACGGTCTATCCACTTGAGCGTATGGTTGAGATGTATACGCTCGACGAGAACCCCAATTAGCAGATACTACGACTTGTCGCGACAAAAAAATAGTCGAGCATCTTCTGCACATCAGCAGCATCCCACCCCTGAGGACGAATTTAAGTGCCACATTACCACACTTATCGGTAGTTCAGGCAGGGGTTGTAGCACAGACTTAGGGGGGGACAGGAGGTTTAGTAGTCGTTTGGCTACAAGTTTACCTGTATAACCGCCCGACGCGGCTTAAGGGCCCGCTATATCATCTATAGCCCCTTAAGGGAGTACTTGTAGAGGTACCGAGGGTTAACACCTACGGCGTATTTAATATTATTATATGCGTCGAAACAACTATCCTTGCCATACAACTCGCAGTAAAAAAGAGTATCCAAGAAATCTCATCGTCATGCAATAAGTTGTCGTACAACATCGTTGAAGGTCTGGCGTATTTACGAATGTGGTGCTAGCTGCCTAATTATAAAATGCCATGACATTCGATATCACATAATTACTCGCCGCTTTTGCATAGGCGTGGCTCAGGTTTGCTCATCCTATTTACCCTGTTTACCCACAATCATTATCATTCCAGAGTAGCGTACGAAAAGCAGCAACTAAATAACCTACGAGTAGTGACCAGCGCTACGACCCTTGACGTGGTATGCCCTCTAGATCAACCTTCACCGTGGGAAAGATGTTTGTACTTGGTACGTCAGATATATTTTCGCGAAACAAATTACTCAGTGAACGCTAGGAAAGCTTTCGTAACCTACCACCAAGCTCCGTTACGCTGGTCGTCCTCGTCCTCATCTTCATACCCCGTATATAGAAAAATCCCACGCATCCCCACCCTATTCGCCTTCTACCTTAACTGATTGGTCGCACAGATATAAAATTTCTGCTGGGCCAGATTAGCCCGAAAACTATCATCGAACATGCCAAAACCCTGCTCCTCGACTAAGTTAGCGAGCTGCGTCTGAACTCTCCTCGGCAAAAAGCTGCTCATGGGTCTTTTTTTGCGCTTCGTACAGTAGAGGTTAAATATATTGAGCTGGCCCTATACCTCGTGATATCCAAGCCGGCGGTTGCAGCCCGTTGCTCCAGATGCCACACGCAGTGCCGATTGGGCCTGTTTTGCACCTCGAGCCATAGCACATGGATATTCTGCCGCTCTAGCGGTTCCTTGACGATGACTATACCGCTCTGGTACGCTTCTGGCCGCGACTCGGAGGACGAGATGGACCATAGTGAGTTGTACAGGGCCTGTTAGTCTACGACGATGCACGTGTGCGTAATCTGTATCTGAATTCCCGGTTTCTGGCGCGCTAGCTCGGCGAACATTGTCTCGCGCGGTAGGAGCGGGTGCTAGATCAGGTACAATGGGTCCATCTTCTGGTAGCGGCTCCAGTCTTCCGCCTCGGCGTTATCGTCTAATTCGCTGCACCACCACTTGGCAAAGGTCGTATGGTAGTAGATACCACGCTTGACGCAGCAGACCTCTTCTGGTAGCATGGTGGGCCGTCGAAACCTATAATAGCGGTCGATATTTGCCTCCCAGGCCGCCATAAGGATTAGGATGTCCTTATTAGTGGTCGGCAGATCCAGGGGTAAGGGCGACTAAAGAAGTAGAAGGTCTCTTCGGTTAGCAGCAAGCTGTATGTCCCAGATGCGTCCTCGTCGATGTAGAAATAAGTAGGAAAACAATCTTCGCCTAGATCTTCATAACCTGCTTAATTTCTAGGTATGATCCTACTGACGTGTCCCCATTAAGATACGCTCCCGCACGAGGGGTATGAAGATTAACGGGGCGCGTGTAGTCGTCCACAACGGCATATCTTGTAGGCTGAGGAATTATATTCATATATATTCCATGACTGGCACTTGTTCCAGAATCTGTAACTTCCTCGGCGAAGGATACATCCTGCAACAAGTTAAGCTTCCTGTACAGGCGCGTATACGCAGCCGTGCGGGAAGTGCAATGCAAGTTCGCAAAACCTAATGGTGAATACAGTGTGCTAGCTGAATCACAAGTCTAGCGTACTGCCATTGACTGACTCGTATAAAGTTATTGATAATGGTGGGCCTCCCGAGGTTCCCGGTTGTTGGGAGGATATTTTAGAGTTCCAGGGCACATGCTGGAGCTACCACGGGGTTAATGTTTCCTAGGAATGTAGAGGGGTGTTGACCACAACGAGTTAGAACGCATGAATTTAAGTGAGGAATAGGAAGGCCGAAGAGGCTACTAGTTATTCGAGTTTATGGTTCAAGTTGAAAGAAAAGGGATACATCATTAATAATAGCTCTATACTTGTACTATTGCATAGTCTAGCTCAGATTCACGTCTTTAGATTAAGAAATACATTTGAAAAGGAAAGTTGGATTAACGCTTTACGTATATGGCTATTTGATATTCGAGCATGGCTTGTTATTGTGCCCTGAAGCCTTGAGCCTTACAAAGAAACATTGCCTTATTCAAGGTAGCAGTATGCTTGATTCGTTAAATAGTGATGCAATAAGACCATATCATAGAGGATATCTCTTGCTGCCCGTGAGGTATTGTCGAACTCGAGCCTTACCCGAGTCACATCCAGCTGAGCCCCCATCCAAGCATTGCAACTGTAAGTAAGGCTAGGCACTCTTTGAGGAATCTTCCAGAGGCGCTGCTAGGTTCGGTTGTTGAGGTCGTCTGCTTGATTTGTCAGTACTCATATTCATCTGTGATCTTAGTTGCTGTCACTTACAGCGCCTGACTGGGTTCCGGATGGGGCACTTGACTCCGTGGTCGTAGGAGACGAGGTACTAGTGGAAGGCACGGTCGTGCTGCCAGAAGACGCAGTCGCAGTCGAATTGGCCGCTTTAGGGGTGGCATCCAAGCCGCATCCTATTCATCTCAAGTCAGCTATCAAGTCAGTTGAGAAGTTCTGAGAAGCCATGAAGGTGGTAGTGGTGCAAGTGGAAGATGACTACCAGGGCTGCCTGCCCGAAAAGATGAAATCTGCCCCGAGCCATCTATTGTCATAGACCAGCGGAGGAATTGATAGGTACCTTTCGCGGCAGCAGTTACGCTATCACCATAGTCCTTCCAGATATCGTACACGAGTGCGCAGTCAAGGCAATCGTCGAGCAGGTCAGTCCAGGTGGAGTTGTCACAATAGCCATCAGTTCTCGCCCCGATGATGGTATAGCCACAGTCCGCATGGCATTCGTAGGATGCACCAGAAGCTTGGCGACGTTCGATCCCAATAATGGAGTTGAATTCGGCGGGCAGCAGCATCATCGATGCCTGGGCGATAGACGCCATGGCCGTGGCTGTCACAAGAGTGATGAACTTCATGATGATTAATGAATGAGAGCGAGCTAGATAGTGGACTTGAAGGTGGTTAGCGCAAAAGGATGCTTATGATTATAGGGAGTGGGGATCCAGAGAATAAGAAGGGTGGGGTTGGAGCGAGGTGAGGTTTTGAGATTGGTGGTGATACTGAGTGTGGCGAGGATGAAGAGAGGCCAGTAGAAACCAAGAATTGAGCCGAAACCCCGAAATATGCGCAGTTGCACCTCGCAATAACCACCACAGGCTATGTAGCTGGCAGCGAGAAGGGGTGTTCGACGACTTGGGGACCCCGCTACAGGTACCCGTACCACAGACTCCAATTATGTGCCAAGGTTCCTTTTTAGATCCTTGGCCTCGATTCATCTACGAAGCATAGCCAAGTTTGCCTTCCTATCCCGTTTCGATCCCTCGGCATATTGGTGGGTCTGAGATAAGTGCTGTACTATAAGCCAACATTGGCCCATGCTGGCCGTTTTTCGCCAGGCAACGGACAGACCGTCACTTACCGTAGTCGCCGGACGTGTTTGCCACTTCCACACCACAGAGAGTTATGTTGCTTCCCTAGCTGCAGTCGCCAATTCGGCAAGGTCTGGAAGAGTGACTGTCGAGCAAGCATGTAGTCAGCATCTGCTCTCGGAACTCCAAGCGAGAGCAGTGGGGTGACTTATCAATCTTCTCAAGAATACGCCCCACGCTATTGAGCCAGATCACACGATGAGCTGTGCCAATATGTCTACGGATGCGGCCAAGACCCGAGACCGGCCGAGCAGCCAATAATCGTCATGAGCACCATCTGATAAGATGGGATCGACAAGCCTGATTGATTAGATTGCCTCCACTTTGAATCCATCCTCCAATTACTGGCTGCATGCCAAGTTGACTTGCTGACATCGTATTGGGTGAAGTTTAGGCAGTTCTTGGGTTCGATATGCAGAGTCATCACGCTCGTCGGCAACTCCAAATGGGATGGCCGGGGCGGTGATAGTGTGCATGTGTGAGCCAGTGATGCGGGCAACAAAGTAGTTGGCCCAACATTGTACCATTGGGTAACAGGTGGAACGACACATCCGTTTCTACAGGAAGGTGCATTGGTTCGAACCAGCCTCTCGTGACCATCTGGTGGTGCATGTGCTCAGATCTCGGAGCTGGACTGGCATATAATCTGACGATGCCCTCTTCCTTCATGCATGCAGCCTCAATCCCAGATCAAGTTCCTGCTCTTCTCGCTCATGGCCGTAAACTCTCAGCATGATGTTTAAGAGTCTCATACCGGCCTGCTGGGTCGCCCTCGTCTTCCTTGGAGGAGCCTGGGCAAGACCCGCAGATGATGAGCATGATGAGCAAGAAGCCGATGACATGGGCCCCGCCGCCTTCTTGTGGCCCGCAGACCGGGAGTGGGTGTCGTATCACGACAATGTCGCCCCTTGCGGCTCTGCAGATGGGCCTACCAATCGAACAGATTTCCCATTGAGTAAGATCCATTGCTTCACCTCACTCAATGTCTGGCTTCGAGACTGAGACTGACCCGTCGCGCAGCTGGCGGCAAAATCTCCCTGGTCCAACAGGATGAGTCTTACAATGTCCAAGTCGCCATATCCTACCAATCCGGTACATGTCCACCAACTTCTCAGTGTATTCCTCGTGTTTCCAAGCAACTAACGAACTAACCCACGCAGACCCCGAATCAAATGACGACTTCGAGGTCCTAATCTCAGGTTCCCGCCTATCGGACCTCGACCCCGGCCACCAATGCATTCCCGTCTCCGATCCCCCGTCAGGTACTGCCGCCGGCAGCAACGCCACCCTGCAGATAAAATACACATCTGAGTTCGACACGGACAAGAACGAGACCTTCTACGCCTGTGCTGACATAACCTACGTTCTCGCGACCAACTTCGACGCTAGCGTCATCCCTTGCTTCAACGTATCCCAGCCCGAGGACGACGACGCGGCCACCACTACAACTGCTGGGGCTGGCGCCACGGCTACGTCCGATGCGAATACGTCCGGCGGGTCCAGCTCGGGGTCTTCGTCAGGGCTTTCCGGGGGTGCGATTGCGGGGATTGTGATTGGGTGCGTTGTTGGTGTTGGCCTTTTGGGGTCCGTTCTTTTCTTTTTGTATCGTCGGGATCAGCGGGAGAAGAGGCTGGCGCAGCACCAGGTGTCGGCGAGGAATGTGAAATGGGACGAGACTGCTGCTGGTGCGGGCTCTAGGGCGTCGAATGGGGAAAGTGGGAACAGTGTTCAGCTGCAAGACATGCGGAGAGAAAGCTAGTCTGGCGTTGGTGATAGGATCGTGCGCCTATGGCTGGCCCGAGCTGCTGAGTTCGAATCAGGGCATAGCACCTAAGTGCAGAGAGCTACTTAATTTGCGAGCCAGAATACACAAAGATAGATAAAGATGTGAAACCTCTCTTCGTGTGTGTTGCACTTCCATGTCTACTGCTCACTGTCTAGCTTCTAGTGATATAGGTGTAACCGTGGAATGGCCGATGTGGACGACCATTGTCAGAAACCTTGAGGATTCGTCTAGTCTATCGTCTGTACAATTACTCGTCACAATGATTACTGTGGCGTTGAACTCATGGAACTCATAAACATGTAGATCGGCTTAATGACAACGCCAGGTGTGTGCTGTAAACTCAGCAGGACTTCAGCCGCAACGCCTTAGGTTATACATTATGCAACTTTTATGGCAGCCGTCCTACGATATTCGAATATAATTCAAGATATATCAACGTATAATGGTGTGTATATTTATTCTCGGTCTAGGCATTCAAGCCAATTTCCTCATTACGTTTCTTGTAGATCATTGGTGCAGTTGGCGATGTTCGTCTATAACAAAACGAGAGTCATCTATATAAGCGCCAGATGAACCCACGTCAAGCATTATGACCAAGCATCCTTCATCTTCAGATAATTTCTAAACCACATCTACACATCACACTGAGAATGTTGTTTTCGCGTGCCAGCTTGCCTTTGGTTCAGGTGTTGGACCAAATTGACCGTCAAAAGACGAGGGACCCACTCGCTGTAGAATGAGGTATTTTTGGTAGTTATGAGGTCTGACATCAGGCTTTAGCGGCCGTCATGCCCTGGCAGCCCCAACAACACCAAACCCGTGCATGTCGGGTACGATCACTGCCACTGTTCGTAGTCACATGTGAGTCGAATTGGGTAAACAAACTCTTTGTTAACTTCACGATTAGTTCGAAGACCTCGATCCGCCAAATATTGATGATGGTAACACCGGCCTGACCTCCTTCAGCCCCTACCTGGGGTTGAATTATCAGAGGTTCAGCGCCATCGACGTACAACCCGAGGAGGGTCGCGTCATATTCTACACCCTCTCACGTATTACGAGCGCAGTCGGGTCTCTCATCGACTTATTACCGACTTCGATCCCGTTACCGGTGACTCCTCCAGCCATCCTTCCCGCCGCCCCCGCAAAGAGTTTTGACCTTGACAGTTTCGACTTCGGCTGTGTTGTTCGGGGCCTGGCCCCAATGGTTGACGGCGTGATAGGGTTCGACTGCGAAATCCAGATTATTCCCATCAGAGCGTATCCTTCCGATCCGCAGCAAGCTACCAAGACGTGCACTTACACAGCGCCGACCAGTACAGGCTCGCCTGAAACAACGGGGGCCCATTACAAGAGATGTAATGTCGGGCTCAAGAGCCTGAAAGAGGCAAGGTTCCTAACCACCCCTATAATCTCAGAGGAACAATGCAAGGTCATTGGAGGTGTTTTGGACGGTGTGACGGAGGCAGCGCTTGTTACTGCAATGGACAATGTCACATACAGTCTGGAATGTTAAATGACTTGAGGTGGGAGGGTTGTTCAGAGACTCTGGTGTGGAATCTAATATGGTGTTTAACTGTTATTTCCATTCACCTGGACGAGCGCATCTGAAAGCCGGTATGCTGTGTCGTACGGAAACATGACATGAAACCATATTCTGGATGCGATTTTGGTTATTACATGGGTCCTTACATAGTTCCTGGCTAGCAACCAACAAAGGCTCGTTTTAAGATCCAAGTTTCTACACCTTACTCAATAGCTCAACTGTATGTGACCCTGTTAGTCACAGCGGAGGGTTGCTCTTTAGTTGAAATCATGGATTGGCAACAGGCTGTGATGGGCAATAACCCGGTTTTGGGGCAGTGGCAACTTGTGAGTTAAGAATTGCAGTGCAACTCCGCAAATGGAACTCCATAATTGACTTTTGTTAACGTGAATGTACACCGAGCTGGCCACCCTTACATAACCTCGCATAGAAATTTTACGATAGTAAAACCACAACGCCGTAAATCAATTGAAACTACTCTGAATCTTCCTCTCCAGAAGATGGCAATGCGATGTTACAAGTTCGCGCATTATGCCCAGTCCCGTTGCAAATACCACAGCGCCTCGGGCGCGTTTTTACGCGTTTGGAGGGTGCTTCGGGGGACTTGGTACGTTGTTGCCGCTTGTCGGAGACTAAGTTTTTGGTCATTTTTGAGAGCTTGAAGGGCTAGCATTAAGTCTGCTTCGTTGTATGACTTTGCCATAATTGGTTGTTGAGAAAATCAAAGATTAAGTTGGCCGGTCGCGTTGGCGCATGAAAGTGGCCAGCTCGGTGTCATGGCCAGCTCGGTGTACAGTCACGTTAACCAAAGTCAATTATGGAGTTCCATTTGCGGAGTTGCACTGCAATTCTTAACTCACAAGTTGCCACTGCCCCAAAACCGGGTTATTGCCCATCACAGCCTGTTGCCAATCCATGATTTCAACTAAAGAGCAACCCTCCGCTGTGACTAACAGGGTCACACAATGCATGCCACCCGTAACAAACTTTCCGGTTTCTGCAGTCTTAGTTATCTACTGACGAATCAGGACTCAGCATGACGCTTTGGGCGATCATAACGTAGCCCGGAGGTCATGGAACCAGATCTTGGTAGCCGAATCTTCGTCATCTGGGATAATTGAGGAGTCTCAACAACTTGAATCGCCAAGTCCAGGCAGGTCTGGAACGCGGCAGACGAAAGGTAGACAACGCTGTTGTCGCAAGGTGTCATCATTCAGCAGTCGATTGCCTGAATGTTTGTTGGGAGCAGTTAAACGTCATTGGAGGTCCAGTATTCCAGCAACGGGTTGAGACAGCTGTGTATATAAGTCTATCTACTCGACCGTAAAGCTTCTCCTTTTTTTTTTCTCTATTTCAACCTATCTACAGAACCAACAGCAAACAAACATCTTCATTCCAATCAATCCACTATCCTACACCTTTCACACCCCCAAATCATCATGGACTCCATCAAGAACGCGATTTCCGGCAACAGCTCCGGCGGCAACAGCTCCGGCGGCAACAACCAGCAGGGCAACCAGGCTGCCGGCCAGGACTATGGTGACAAGGGTAAGCTTGCTCGCTTGTGACGTTGCTAGTTTTCGTGATTATCATACCAACTTCATACAGCCTTCGCTGCTGGTGCTAAGGCGAGCGGTCACGAGATGTCCGCCGGCACTGAGGAGAAGATCACCGATGCTGGACGTGGGGTCTACGAGAAGATCTCTGGGTATGTAGTTGACAACTATCTGCCCATTGTTTCGAGGTAATCGCGAAGCTAATTGAACCGCGCCAACAGCAACAAGGTCGACCCCAAGTTCTCCAACTAGACGTTTGCTCACTGACAGTAGTGGCATTTGTGGGCCTGCAATAGATATCCTACATGCCACGCTGAGAAAAGAGGTTGGTAGAGGTCAACACTAGTGTATACAGTAAAGCTGATAAACATGCGAAAATATTTTCATCCTGTCCAGCTCGTGTACAATCCTTGTTCGTAAAACATAAGAACACCTAACATGACCATTAGCGACTCGTCAGCTGCAGCCCATAACCAAAGGAAGTCTTCGATTGGCATCCTCGAACGCCAGATATGCGCGCCCCAAATCACTATGCCGTCAACCTGCTCCAACGCTGTCAAATACAACTAAACTGACAGTATATGGCAACAACATTGTCTCGTTCTCGTAACATAATAAGGACGGCAACTTAACCCCTATGCGTAGACAAAGATTCAGGTTTCGTCATAGAATACTTGTACCGCCATGACAATTATCCACAAGAAGAAGATAGCACCGACGAGCGCGAAGGCGAAAACAGCCTGCCACGATTGACCTATGCACATAATTAGCTTGCACGCCTTGTAAAACCCAACAATAAACAATAGCTTACATATACTCCTCTGCTCCAACCAGGCCAGATTCCCCTGGTTGTTCCCAGGGTCGGGCGTGTTATTGAACACTAGAAGGTTACAATTGGAGCTCACGGATCCCGTCGGGCCCCATAGCTCGATGCTGGTGACGATAAGCCCTACCATCCACAGCACGAAGAACATGAAAGCGCCGATGATTACGATGGAGGGCAGCAGGCGGCGTTGCGATATCAGCCAGAGGAGAATGCCGAGGAATACGATGGTGAGGGCTGCGACGGAGATGAAGTAGGCGAAGTACCTGTAAGACGATTGGACTCGTTAGCAACCGATAGTAGTTTTTACGTCTGCGAATTGATTGCGCTTCCTAGTGATGGCATTGATGTACGTACCAAGGGACATGAAGCCCAAGCCGCTGCTGGACCCCAATCAGAGTCGCAAAGACGCCAATGATGGTGCAAGATGCCACGAGCATAATGAGCATCCACACGTTCAACTGCAGCGCCGGCCAGTGGTACTTGTGTATGCGGGCGACCCGTCGTTCATAGACGAGTGACCCGCTTGCCGTCGTCGTCGAAGCCATTGCGGATTGTGGATAGTCGGTTCTCTAGTCCGAGGGTGTTAGCTCGTCGTCGTTGACAGCTTGGTTTCGGTGCTCGATCGTGGGGGTGCCACCTCGTCGCCTTCGTTGCGTTTGTCGCGGCGTGGGAAGGCGGAAGCTTGAGCTGCGACAGCTTCAGTGGACTCCTTGCCTCGTCGAAAATATATCTACTCCAACTCTGCACCCTCCAATTGGGCGTATATTCGAACGCAGGGTAGAAGTTTCGTCGATGGGAACCAAGTGAGGTCTTTGCGCCGACGGATGCGCCGCTTAAATTGCGCAAGGTGCGAGTTTCTGGATGGCCCCAAAAGGCTCTGCCCTTTCTCAATGATGACGAGGCACCTATCTGGGCAGACACAAGAAATCCGCCCAACCGCCAGCTCACCGGACAGCTTGTTAGCTGGCCGATGATTGGATTGGGTTGCAATGCGCCCGCCCCGCGACAATACTGGAAACCGACAGCTCAAGCTTGCGTAGGTTCCACGGGTCGAGATGCGGCGGGCGGAACGAGCCGGTTCGAAAGATGTGGTGCAGGTACTCTGCTCCGTGGCGATTGACTTGAAGTCCCGTGAAATCCTCGACGGCGCAGAGTGGACTGGGAGATCGCGAAATCGCGTCTTTTGGAGGGATTGGCAAAGTGGGATCTCGCGGTAATCTTAATTGATAATAGGCAAACTGGAAGCTGACCGGACAGGGATTGGGGGCGCGGTAGCAACCCCGGATTAGCGGGACTGACTTGCGCGAAAGAGCGATGACGAAGGACGAGACATGATGAAAGAATACGACAGCACCGCGAGACGAAAAGGACAAATTGAAGAATTTGAACAGAGATGTCGGTGACGCGCTGCCATTATTTGTTCGGCGGAGGGTCCTAGACGTCGCTTTTACAGTGGAGATGACAGTCGGTATGAGAATTAGAGGTGGTCGGTCAAGAACTTTGTTACATGTCAAAATACCCAGGTATGAAAATAATAGCAAAGTTACCAATTCTGTGGCTTGGACCGGTTATTCTGCAGACGACTCTACGACGGCGAAGAAATGTATCAAAGGAGGATATCCCTGATTCGCATGATGTTGTGACACTGTATTTCAGTCTGGATTTGTTGGTGAGCCGGAAGCAAAGTTCAATACCCCGGACTAGATCGGCCCACACCGTTAGGAAAGATCCGTCGAGCCCAAGCATTTCACACGACAATCCCTGTTATTGATCATCGATTGTCAATTGTAGTTGAGATGGTCAGGTGACAGTCAGTGAAGTCCAGTCGGTGCATATCATGCATCTTTACAATGTGAATAAGGGGTAAACGATCTTATTCCAGAGGTTGGCTATCTGCACGCTACGGACTATTCCTCGAGCCCAAGGCGTCGCTCCCGAAATTCTTTCGGAAAAGGCGCGTAGCCTTGTGTGTCAACGATGCCCGGCTGTACCCAACTCGCACGTGTACACTTCATGTCCGTAACCTATTACACAATGCACACCTGCTGGCAACCGCCACCCGACGTGCTTGTTGTTGATTGATGAGAGAGCACTGCTGCACGCTAGCGTGCCCAAACATCAAACTTACAGCAACGACTCACCCAAAGCACATCTGACCAGCGAACAACCCGCCCGTACTGTCTCATGAGCTCCCATATCGTTTTCCGCCACCGCCAGACTCGGGTTCACTTCGACCAGATCGATAGCCACCAAGTTTCCTGTCTCGTGCACGCTCTCGCAAATATAGTCGCCCTCACGCAGCGTCAACCCGCCCCGAACAGGCGTGCCGGTACTAGGTGCCCACATTGGATCGAGCGCGTCAACGTCGAACGAGAGATGGATAGGGGTATCCGAGCCGATATGAGCGAGGGCCATTTCGACGACGCGGCCGATGCCGTGTCTACGAAGGAAGAAGCAATGTCAGCGACAGATCAGGAGCAATGGCGAAACATTTCGAGTACGGGAAGAACGAACCGGTCAATATCGAACATGCTGAACGACTTGATGCCATGCTCGCGCAGGATCTTCTTCTCGCCGGGATCCACGTCTCGAAGCCCGATGTAGACCAACTTGTTCAAGTTGAGCAAGTGTTCGCTCTTCAACCAGCCAAAATACTCGGGCTTCTCTTCCTTGGCCAAGCCCGTTAAAAAGCTGACCGGCATACCGTGGACGTTACCCGAGCCACTGGACTCAGGGGTATTAATATCGGCGTGGGCATCGACCCAAATGACGGCCATCTCGCGCCCGAGCCGCTCGCGGATCGCTTTCGCGGTACCCGATATCGTTCCGATGGCAATGGAATGATCACCGCCCAGAGTCAGAACCATGCGGCCCTCCTTGGCGTGGGAGTAGACCTGTTCCGACAGTCGCTCAGTGACGCTGCTGACGGCCTTGGGGTTCTTCATGTTGCGGAAGGGCGGGTCGTCTTTCGGCACTAGGTCCTTGTACAAATGTACCGTGTCGTCGCCATGGAGCTTGTAGTTGAGCTCGTCGCGCAGTTGCACGAGGAGGCCGGACTCGATCAGGGCGGAAGGGGCTGCATCAACGCCGGGCTTGCACTATTGTAGATATCTGGTTAGCTTCTTCTAGACCTGCGGCTGGCTGCTCCTGCCTGACTTGCTGGCCGATGAGCTTAGGGTAAAGCGGATTTTCACTTACCTGCCCTCCGGAAAAGCCAACAGCGACGACACCAAGTTCCCCTGGGTTAGAGAGGAACTTGGACTTGATCATGGAGGTATTCATTTTGCTGACGTTCTAAAGATGTCTTCTAGGGTCGAGGAACGGAAGGAAGCTTAGGTACGAGCTCAACTTGCACGGGTAAAACGAGATCTCGGGGTATCTTGAAGAAAGAAAAAAATATATATAAAGAACTAGGGAAAAGCTGGTGTTCCAGGACACGAGTCTCGCCGGGGTGGCTTGGGTGGCAGCAAAATATGACATTCCTCATCAGGACATCTTTTTCTCGTTTGGAGGGGCAAAGGGACCGCTAGAGATTCTTTGATGGTGGGGTGGTGGGGTCGACTGATCTACGCGCTAGTAACTTAACTGCAGGAATGCCGAACTTCTAAACTTCGAAGCAGGGATGAGAGAGCCATTTACAAACTTGGGAAGCCGAATTTCCACACGTTACTTGATTGGGGTATGCCACTCTTCAGTCCTGACTCGGTGAAGGAGACCCGTTGCTCTGCGTGCGGTAATGTGGTAACACCCAATTGCTTTTGCTGTCATTACTCGGTTGGTGCTTCAGCAAGCCAATGGTACTATTAATGCCGCTTCAACCCGACGTTTTCCATCAATCTTGAGGCATGCCACGGCTTTCTTGAGGGATTCCAATCGCTGCCGTAAAAAATACGTAAGTAACTGTCTTAAGTAATGGCATCTGACAGTCGAATCTAGGGTCTGCAGGTCCGTCTCACCGCCGAAAAATCTGAATCTGGGCACTCGTCCGAAATGCCGTCTACATACGTAGTACGTAAACTTCAGAAATCAAGCTTACTGCAGAATCACGTCGTCCCTGGCATCAAACCCTGGCCTTTATCGCGCTTGCAGGCCGACGTCGGGTTGTCGACTACCGTGTTTTACTAGCGAGTCCTGGTTGCACAGCCAATCTCCGTCCAATTGATGTAGTTCTGCAGTTCATGGAGCTAACATAATATATTCCTACGAGTGTTATACCAACTGCTTCCTCTCCATTGTTACCTGCTAAGGTTAACGGTATGAAACGTGCAATAATGCATTCCTCTGGCCCCGCTATCAATTTGACCCGAATTCGCGAAGCTATTATTCGTCGTGCTGACAGGCATCCGGCCATTCTATGCCGCCATGAGGGGCCAATTTTACGATACTGCCTGCATCTGACTTCTACTTCCCACGTATTCATTTTTGATAGGAGAGTTACATTTCTGCGCAACGCAACGAAATGTCCAGCCTGTCGTGTCTGACAGCAAAAGGGCAGCCGCAGTGGACCAGTGGGGCAAGGAAGATCTGAAGCTCAACTAAGAAAACATGTCTTATTTGACCCAACAACATGAAGCATTTGACCAAATGTGCACTCGGCCGCTGATCAACAGAAGCAAGTGCGATGAGGAAACGTCGGAGCAGGTTATACGAATCGACAGTCGATTATACGAGAGATGTATAGGAAGACGACGTTAACCCTGTAGATAACCCTAAAGATAACCCTAAAGAGTAGTACAGTAAGTAATACTACCTAGCCCAATATTACTATATCGCACATATATATTATAATCCTAGAGCTCTAGAGTCGGGCTTGTAGCTCGGGGATAAGCTCGCAGATTGTGTGGGCAGGGGCGTGTTTGCACGGAAAGTCACTCGTTTTTGGTGGTTGTTTAAGGCTACCTGGCTTTATATATGTGGATTAGCCGGCGGGAGAGGGCTTCCTAACGCATAAGTAACATCTCTTCGACCTCTTCTCCATTGATGAAGCCGGAAAGTGCGGCAAGAAACCGAGTGCCGTCGGCCATACGGTAGGTTATAACTAGCTAGGTCTTAATACTACGAGGCTAATTGCTTTGAGGTTGTACTAGTAGTATCTTTAAATATTTGAATAAAGGTCCAGAATCTATCAACAGTTCGTCTGCGGAGGTTTCTGGGTTGTAGAAGGACGACGGGACATTTAAATCATGATGAAGTGAGTGGTGTAACTGTATCTTTACTTATCGTTAAGTGACAATTTAGTTACGAAGCGTATGGCTAGTGAAATACGTGGGGACTTACCGTTATTGACCGGGGCTGTTATCCTTCCGTTAGCTTACTTGATTGCCTCGTCTCTCCGTAGCTTTGCCCAATCCCGCCCATTTTTGTACGCCCTAGATCCTCGTCGAAATGACGCTGTATTTTTGGTCAAGCTCTAGGAATCGATCTGCGTTATCATATGTTCGGGTCGTGCTCCAGGACTGGTTAGCGGTATCGTATAGCTAGAGTGTATCTTAGGATGCCTAGCGTGATATATAGAAGAGTATATTACTTATTGTCTTATAATGCTTCCAATTCTCTATACGAACGAAGCCTCTGTAGTCCTCTTACTCTCAGGGCTCTATTGTACCATGGCTGCCGTCCTGTAATAGTAGCTTACCTATCTGGGCCTTTCGTAATAAGGAAAATCTTAGGCGGAATAAGGAGAGCTTATTGAGTGAAGTGGACGATATGGCTGTAACACTCTGAGTACTCTTCGAATGAGTTGTTCAGGCTGGGCGCTGTAGTATCGATCTGGATTATCGGGCATAAGTGAGCCGTCGGATAAGGGATTAAGGTTCGTGAAGGATATTTGCCCAGCGACACACTTACTGTCCCTAACGTCTCCTTCAATAATAGTAATGACCGATGTCTTAACTAGATCCCTTTAGAAGCATAGGTATCGACTTGTTCGAACTTTCAGAAGTCCTCGTCCCAGGAATGAGACGGCGATAGAGACGGCCTTGGCTGAATAAATGCATATAAAGTCTGAGAACTTGGAGGCTGTTTTCCTTCTCAATGAAGATTAGGAAATAGAATTAGAGAACCATGCTGCCGTGATCATAACGGATAATGAGCATCACAAAATATTGAGAGAACTCGAAGATTATAGCCCATTAGCCTTTTCGAACAGCAGGTAGATGTGGGGTCGTACCTAATCTGTGGCATCACTTATGAACCAAGGCATCTCTATTGAGCAGGAGATAAACCGCGGGAAATAGTTCCTTCCTGTTACCACACTCAGAAGAGGGTTCAATATAGTTCAAGCATTAGTTAAGAGGAAAGTATTGGACAGGAAGCATATGGTCTTGTATTGAAAAGTTCATGATCTCTGGAGAGTCCCTTAAGAATTGAACAGCGGCCATAAGGGCCTTATACAGATAGAAATGAACGATGCCTGTCCCACATACAGGACTTGTGTGGCACGATGGGTGGTGGCCATATGTTCTTCCAAGGCTGATACTTGGGTGCAATGGCCTTGAAGGTCCAGCAGGAAGTAGGCACGCGTGGGCTTTCAAGGGAGCTCATGACTACCATGTCTCACGGAGATGAGAATACCACGGCATTCCTCCTTAAGCTAGTTAGTAGAAAGAGCGCGTTGCTGTCATAAGAGCTACCCGGTCACAGACGCCATTAGCGGCTATCCGACTCGTAAAAGCATTTCTCTCCCGATTCTCCTCGACCATGAAGAAAACTTATTGATCCAAGATAGTGCTGGTTTGATTTTACTAGACTTCAGGGAATGGAAACAACACTGCATCATTGGACAGCTGATCAGGAACCATCTCGAATCCCTGTGACTGTCCCACGCCCGTACCCACCATTTCGACCGTATACGCATGCGAAGGTTCCTGCCCATCTGTCGAATGCGCAAGCACACTCCACCTTCCTGCCGACCCGCCCCCCTAAAAACTGCACACCTACCGTGACGGTCTCGGTCTGCCCGACTGCGGGATGTAGCATTGACTCGTGCGAGTTCTGATTATGGATAGTGAGTCTGAGATGGCTATGTTTGAAAAATTAGTATAAGGATTGACTTGTGTGTAGAAATCGTCACGTTTCCGTGCGGGTGTACGACTGGCATCAACGTAGTGACTTCGACTTTCACTAAGCTTTGTCCGACAACAGCGCCTTGCTATGACTGTCATACGGGGTTTACTTTCACGACTACTGAGACGGCTTGCTCGCCCACGGATCCGGTATACACTAGGACGGCCTAGGCTTGGAAAGTTGTGAATACAAAGCTAGAATGACAGTCAATAAAGAGGAAAGATTCTGTGACACGAGAGCAAAATACAATTATCACTCTGAGATCCCGCTTTCAAATTGCATCTAAAGTCTGCAAATCAAGCGTTATTTTCGCAGCAAAATAACCGTCGGGTTGGATAGCGACTTTATGGTTGTTATAACTCTTAGATCCAAAGGGGTCGGGATGCCTTCGCCTTTGAGGTGGGCAAGCTCAATATTGAAGTCCAAGGCGACCCAAACGTCTTGTTATTTTCATATCTCACCTTCGTGGCGAAAATTACTATGTTGTCTTCGGGGATCTAATCGTCTTCACCGAACGCAGGCAAGGGATCAACTTCTACGCGGCCTGAGGCTATCACGAGCTCAAACATCTTGGGGGTAGGCCGAATGTTGCCTCTCTGAACCCCTGTTCATCACCTAGCCTGCTCGCTTTTCTGAACATGCTAGCCTAGCGCTTTTATGTAGTTATCAGTATGGCAAATCTGGCTCTAGATGGTCAGGCTTTTGCAACAGGTATGCAACACTGATGTCTCCCGCAGAAATGTAGGCTACAACGGCAAAATCGGCCCGAGATGAAGGATATCTGTATTTTTCTGCATTAGGGGCTCGGTTAGGGAATTGGTTTGGTGTTGCTGATGTGGTTGATGTATTGAATACAACAGATACCAATGTGGCAGACGTGGATTTGGCCATGTTCGAGGGATGTGAAGGCGAGTTGCACATCGCATAGGCTCAATGGTGTATGTATCTTAGTTAACGTGGTTTAACACCCAGTCGCGCATATCACCGAGTCGCGCACTTTTTACCACACTATAATTTCAAGTTCAATTAAAAAGCCACAACAGACTAAAGTTTATTGAAATTTATTCAGAGCTATATACATCTGACAATTATAGTTCGACCTGACAAGTCTTTACATTATGTCCGGTCTTCTTACACTTACTACATCGTCGTACAGTCGACGGACCAGCCTTTTCTTTACCCCCCGTAGAGCGCTTGTCCTCCTTTACCTGGGCCTCCGCGTCCTTCCGGGCCAAAATTTCCAGGGCATCCTCGACAGTAAGTGCACCTCCTTGCCGGACACGCGATTTTTTTGCCCTCCGACGCTTGCTTAGTGCCTTATTTGCCTTGCGAAGGGTGGAGCACTCAGCCCTCAAGAGGGTATTCTCATGGGCTAATCGAGTTATACCCTTCGCAAGGTGGCCAACAGCATCAGAAATTGGGGTCGCAGAGCTTCCCTGATGTCTGGCGATTCGGCGATTGACAAAATTAGACTGCGAGAGAGCCTCTGTCGGGTTATTTGGCGTTTGCGAAACCCAAGGGTCAGCATCTAGAAGAGAGGGGCTAACGGGTGTAGGCGACCGAATCCTAACATCCAGCTTCGAGATAACGGCTTCAGGGTCGTGGGGGACTAGGCCGGCCCCTCGAAACCCTGCCTTGATGTTTTTGTCGGTTATTGTATTTAAATAAGACTCCTTAAAGGCGATAAAGAACTCGACCTTAGTAATGTGGTTAATATGGGACTTGATAAATATATCAATTTCTCGACCGTATATACGTTTCAAGACCCCAAAGCACCTGACATCAAGTGGCTGGGTTAGATGAGACGAGTGCGGGGGCAGACTGATAGTAATAATGCCGTTAGACTTGCAATAAGACTCGAAATCGGCCGATGTATGACTCTCATGCCCGTCCAATACTAACAGCCGATACACGCCTCTTTTGGTCGAGATAGTGTGCTTGTTGAAATGTTTGATCCAGTCTAGACCAGTCTCGTTGTTCGTCCACCCGTTTTCGGTCGGTTTGACTACCCAATCGGCTGGTAGGTCCCCCTCAGTATACCAATTAGCAAGGTGATAGTTCCCTTGAATTACCAGAAATGGCGGGATGTCGCGACCCTCCGAATTGACACAGGTAATCGCCGTGGCCCATTCCCGGTTACCTGTCTGGACCTTCTTGCCTCTACCATTACGTTCAGACGAGGTAACGACCATCGAGCGTTGAATAACGCCCATCATAAAGCCCGTCTCGTCGAAGTTCCACATATCGCAGTCCGGATCCCGTATTTGGCCCTCATATTCGATACAAGCCGGAACCAGTCCTCAATAATCTTTGGATCCTCGCAGAGGGCCCTCTGGAAGTCATACGAGCGAGAAAAACGCGTCTGTAACTCTGGGGTTCGCTTTACAAAGCGATGCGCCCAGAGCTTGCCGACGCGTCGGGTACCCTGCGTCGCAAGAATGGAATTGGCCATATCTTCCACACCCTCTAGCCGGGGAGGAAACCCTCTCAAATCTAGGTCAAGTACATGCTGAACAATAGCTCTTTCCTCTATCTTGGCGAGTAGTGCGCTATTCGGCCAGATTTCGGTACGTGGGGTGCGACCGTGGATTCTGTCACGGAGTGAGGACTCGGGTACACCGTATAGCTTTGCTGCTCGACGTTGGCTCATATTTTTGGTCGATCGGATAGCTTCGATGGCAAGGTTGATTTTGACTTCTTGGGTTTGAACTGACATGGTGTTGTTGTTGAGTAAATAAGTGTTGAAGTCAAAAGGTTGGAAAAGTTGAAAAAGTGCGCGACTCGGTGTTAAACCACGTTATATACGCAGTAGAAGGTTCACCTTAAGTGCAAGTGTAGAAGATGCCGAAGTGCCGTATGGAATGAAATTTGTTTGGCACCTCTGCCGTCAAAAACAAGAAATACGAATATCTCAAATCATTAGTGAATATATATTCATATGAGAGTGTACAATAATGTAATAAAATCACCTTTCTTTGCTTTTCTGTGGTATCCAAACAGTTTATCAACCACACCTAATCTCGAAGCTTATGCTACTTTGGGACTGGAAATCGGCAGAAATTTAACAGTAAAGCAACAATTAAATGATAAAGGCTGCACAATATTGGAATTAAGCATATCAAGCATAACGTAGTCCACAAGCGAACGGGTCACCCAACCGAACGGGTCACGCCAACTAGCAAAACATGGAATTCAACACGATTTCGCAACCACAACGATTTGATCCAGCGCTATTTCCACGCATTTCCTGCTGTACTTGCTGCGCAACGTCCTTTTGATCTTGAAGATCTTGTACGTCTTGTGAATTAAGTGATCCTCCAAGCCGTACTCATGTTTTTTTGGCCCTGCGCCGCGTGCTAATTAGAGCATTTGCCTCTCGAAGTTCGGCGACCTCAGCTTGGAGTAAAGCCATCTTATGCATAATACTCCGCGCTCCTTTCGAAAACTGATCGATAGCATCGTAAATTGACGTCGGGGGGCTATTTTGATGCCTGGAAATTCGAGATTTAATAAATTCGGATTGCGAAGTAGCCTCGGCTGGGTTGTTTGGCGTCCGAGAAGCCCAAAGAAGGGTTTCCCGCGTAGGGGGCCGGGAGGACGTTGGAGTCTGTAATTTCACATCCAGCTTCTCAATAACAATATCTGGGCTTAAAGGCACAATCACAGCCCCTTAAAAGTCTGCACGAATATTGCTTTCGGTCAGGCTCTTCTTGAACGCGTCGCAAAATGCCGGAAGAAAGTCCTCCTTTGTGATATGCGAAATCCGGGCTCCGACGAGCTTCTCAATTTGCGAGCCGTAGGCCTTTTTTAACGGCGCAAAACATGCCACATCTAGTGGCTGGAGTATATGAGAAGAGTGGGCAGGCATAAAAGTGTAATAATCTTGTTCTCTTTGCAATATTGCTCAAAGGCGTCGGAATGGTGCTTTCGTGGCCGTCCAGGATAAGAAGGCGATATACACCCGATTTCCGGCCTTTGGTGTATTTGTCAAAGTGTTTTAGCTAATCTGCGGTCAATTAGTTCGTATTCCAACCATTTGGGCTCACGGCGATCCTCCAGTCCTTCGGCAACGCGTCGTTTTCGTACCAGGAAGAGAGGTGGTATTGGCCCTTGACAATGATGTATGGCGGGACCGTCCAGCCTTGGGAATTGACGCCCTGGATCACCGTAGCCTATTCCCGATTGCTAGCCTGGGCTAGCTTAGGCTTACCTTCCCTTTCTGAGCTCGTAACAACCATCGATGCGGTAATCTGACCTATCATAAAGCCGGTCTCGTCGAAATTGTAGATGTCGGTATCGGCGATCTCATATTTCGCAATTGTATTGCGTACAAGGTCAAACCAGCCTTGAATAAGCTCTGGATCTTCGCATAAGGTCAGAGAATAGTCGTATTTACGGCTAAATACCGTCTTGAGCTGTGGTTGTCGCTTAACGAAGTTGGAGACCCAGTTCTTGCCGACGCGTAACGCGTCGCGGTCACGTAGCAGTCGGTTTGCCATATCTTCAACAGCACTTAGCCGGGGAGGAAATGCTTGCGAATCTAGCTCAATTATCCTTTTAATAATCGTATTTTCTTCTAGTTTTGTTAAATTCCGACCGTTAGCTTCGATATTGCGACGTGATTGACGTTTTTGAAGACGCGCCTGGAGAGTAGTATTTGAGACTTTGTAGATTGTTGCAGCACGTCGGATACTAAGTGTTAAGTCATTTCTGATAGCCTGAGTTGCAAGGAGTAATTGAGATTCTTTTTGAGCAGAATCCATCGAGAATTAGTTGCGTGGTAAAGTTAGGAAGTTTAGTTCTATTTTTTGCTATGGGCGTGACCCGTTCGGTTGGGTGACCCGTTCGCTTGTGGACTACGTTATATCATTGTTAAACTTTGGATCAAAAGAATCGTCGTATGGCTTAGGCTACAGTGTTTCCTCTTTGTAGAACGGCCCTCTTAGTATACGGTGTGAACTTATGAAACACTCGAAAACAAAAACCCACATTCCTATGGGTCATTATTTGTGGGCAATACAGGCAAGAGAGCTGTATTGGTGATGATGATGGAGCATGCAACATTATATTTTAAGTATCATAATGAAACTTGCCTTCTTAGGCAATACATTGACCTTTTGACGCACTAACGTTGTGTCCAGATAGACAAAGACCTTCCTATCGCAAGTCAAGTTATCAAAGGCATCGTGCTCATATCCATTACATCCCGAAGCAAAGAGCCTCAACGTAACCATGGCAAAGCTACAATAAACAGTTCGAAACATCAAGCGGAGCCTTTATTGTAAGAAGTACCCAACCACGATGCCATGGGGTATAAAAGCCCGTCCCGCGCACCAGACAGGGACTCGTCCATTTCCTTCACATCCATCTAACTAACAAACATCCATCATGGGATGTGAAAACTCCAAGATCGACCATAAGAACAACGGATCCAGGTCAAAGAACAGGAACAAGAATGAGAGGAACAGAGACAAGGCGCCTAAGACACGCGCCGAATCGCCCGAGATACCAGGGTCGAGTGTGTATATGCCTTTAACCAACACCACACAGTGCATAGAACCTATTATTGCGAACTATGGAAATGTTAAATACACTAATTACGAGAACTCGAGCTAAAGTAAAAGGGAGTTTTGGGTTGTGGTGGCGGTAAGCCTGAAGTCTACCTAGTAGACAAAAAGATGGGCTAAGTTGAAGCTGGCCTTACTGATAGTAGAGAGTCAAATTCAAGCAAATGCTCATTCGCAACAAAATATCATAACTATTAGGTGTAAAATATTAGGTTAAGAAGTATACGCATATGATATCAACCTGGTGTGCCTGCTGAAGACATAATGATGTGGACGGTCAGCTTTTGGTGCAAAACTTATCGTCGGCGAAGGGATGAGACGGACAGTGGATCAACAAGGTCTTGATACGTGGACTTACTTCAAAGCGTAAAAGAAAGAGCTGTGTACTCTTGCTGCAGATTTGTTCAGTTTTATTGAGCGAATCTCATTGCAAAGTGCGCATATTATGTATGTTCGTTTGTTGCCTTGATTTCTTATTTACAAGCTTGTTGCCTTACTAGTTAGTTTTTTCGTCGTGTCCTCCTGCATTGAACACCTCGATATCCTGAAACGCCTTCTCCCATGGTATCTCTCGGTGCCAATGATCCTGAATATGTGCTTGGTCCTCCTTTCCTAGCCTCACTCAAGACTCTTTGTCTTGTCGCTAATTCTCACCTTCATTGTCATGCCGTCAACCGGTTTGGCGGTAACCTGGTCAGTCTATCAACAGGAACATACGTTAGCCCAAAGGTTCTGAACCCGCATACAATTTCCAAAATGATCGGTACTCACAGTAAAGATCGTAGACTTTGTCTTGTAATAGCCCTTTTCATCCAAGATGGGCTTCCCCTCCTCGTCCGCGTCCAACTCGCCCAAGCCAACCTTGATGAAGTCAAATCGTCTCGCAATACAAGCCAAGACGACTCGCACCTCCATGTTGGCTAGCTCGGACCCAGTACAGCGCCTCGGGCCCCGTTCATATGGCCTCCAGGCACTCTCGGGTATACTGGCAGCCTCGGGGCCGAGCCATCGCTCCGGGACAAAGTCATCCCTGGTTTCGCCGAAGATCTTGGGGTCTCGTTGAATGACGTAGGCCATTGGAGATAAGACAAGACCGTCTACTACTAACCGCTTTCCGTCAGGCAGAACGAGAGTGGTTCCGGATCCCGCGGGTGCCAGCCTGGCTGTGCCACCAGGGGGGTGGAGTCGCAGAGTCTCCTTGATGATTGCATCCGTGTCTACAGCAATCAGAAGTCAGTTTTGGGACCAGTCGCTACTATCGGAGAGTTTGCTCACATGTCAAACGACCCATAAGTTCTCCGTTGCGGGGACCCGAAAGTTGGGCCATCACAGAGGATGGATCGGGGTCGGGACCGAAGACGTCGTCGAGTTCATCCTTCAGGGCCTTCATTGAGCTGGGGCGTCTGCCAAGCTCGTAAAAGGTCCATTGCATCAAGAGACTGGTTGTATCGTGGCCAGCGAACAGGAAACCTCGACAAGTATCGCTGGTTTGCTGGAGGATATCGGGGGTGAGTTTGTCTATGCCGTGTAAACTGAGCGCTGCTACGCTGCGAGATGCGGTGGCGTCGTCTTTCATCAGTTTGGCATGCTCCTTCCGAATGGTGTCCTTGAGAATATTGTCAAGCTTTTTGTCAAGGGCTCTGATCCGTCTCTCATTTTCTGTGTAGTATCGACGCAACCAGTGCTTCGCCACATCCCTTTTGACGTAGGCTTGTTGAAGCGCCCGGTACGTTAACAAGACAGGGCTCTGCTTCCCAGGAACCTGGGCGTTGAGGTCCATATTAAAGGTGACGATACCTATCCCACTCAAGGTTAGCAGGCAGGCCTCCCGCTCGTCGTCGATAGCAAGCCAGACGGCTCGTCAACACTCACCAATCACATCGAATGCCAAGTTCGTGGTCAGCTCATCAACACGGAACTCCTCTCCAGCTGCCGCCTTCGCCTCGAGGTGCTCTATAAAGAGCTGAGACTTGTCCATGATAACTTTGACGAGACTCAGGAGGTGTTGTGGTTGGAAACCAGGAAGAATTCTCTTCCGGAGGCCTTTCCACTCTTCGCCCTGTTGTGCACAAGATAGTTAGTTCAGCGCCTTGGCGTAAGGCTGCTTAAACATAGGAGATGTCGCTTACATCCAAAGTAACGAGAGACCGGGAGCCGACCAATGGAGCCAAATCCTGCATAGCCGGATGCTTGGGGACACTAGTACTGTACTGCTTCGACGGTTTGGTGACCTGCTCGGCGACGCTGTTGTTGAGAATGAATAAAATTACAAACGATTCCATCGGCCGCCAGTCGACCAACAGGACCGGCGGAAACCCAAGCTTCTGGGCTTGTTCGTACAAGATGATGTCTGAGGCAAGTCAATACCCTCTTCGACTTCATTCTTTTTATTCTTTTCTTTTCCTTTCCGTGCGTGTACTACTGGGTCTATACGTACCAAAAGATCTCCGGGGGTCGCCCGCGGAAGCTGATTTCTCAATCCATGGCCAGTGTCCTCTGCTCTTGTCCGGCTGTTCGGGTTGAGGGAAGTCAGCGTACTGGTCGAAGTTGATATCATTAGACCTGAACGCCTGGAAGAGATATAGTCCAATGAGCGGGATGGCCGCCAGGACAAAGGTCTTCCAGTGCGCCAGAAGATGATCAATAATCGCCATCTCGGGCTTTTGCAACACAGAACGAGGAGATGTCGGAAGAATAAACCAGAGGGGAAAGCGTCAATCAAGAGAAAAAACCTGACTGCATTATGAAGATCTTTAGTGCCGATCACATCTTATCTGATTTCCATCTTATCTGATCTTTAAGATAAAGCCGATGTCGCCACAAAGAACCCCGCTCCTTGTTCTGCTCCTTCTTAAGTAGGCATGTCCAATCGCCCTAAACTATATAGCATCTGAGGGGATAAACTTACCTAATCACCTCGGCATTTACTAAGGTTTCCGGCTTGATTGGACGGTTGAATTGATTTAAATCCCGCATCTCAGCTCATCATCTCATGATATGATCCGAACTATAAGGAGAACCCACTCAGTCAAGGGCCGCTGTTGCAACGACGGAGATCCCTGCCACGATGGATTTTTTCACACCACAATTGTTGTGTTGAAATCAGACCCTGGATGCCTGAACATTGCGGCATAAACTCACAGGACCATGTAAAAGTATTATAAATGACCACCGCTGACATATTCTGCTCCGTGAGTGGGACTTCAAGGCGACAATCAAAGCTCCGGGTTGATATCAAGCGCTTAAAGGCTGCCCTTTTTTTCATCTACTTAAAACTAACCATAGGCAAGACAAGCTCCATTGTCCAGTACTGGCCAGCCACCGGCCCACCTGTGGATGAGTCTTATCTTAAAAGGAAGCTAACAAATCCTAAGTTTGATGAGTTCTGTTTCCTTAAAGACATAATTGACAACACCAAGCATCCCGACGCTACAGTGCTGCATGTACTCGTGGAAACTCGAACCCGTCGTGGGGCAGAACAGCGTTGGGCTCAGCACTGGTATGGGCTACGGAATCCAGTCTCTCAACCATGGCGTGCGGAAGCCGGCACGAACCTCGCGACCAAGATGAAGTTGAGTAATGTGAGTACAGCGTCCGCGGATGCCTCTGACCAAGGCTTCGCCCAAGATGCTATTGAGCACGTAGTCAAGATCCTGCTTGACTGGTACCGCCCATACACACAAGCCCGGTTATCAAATATCTTCAAAGTTTGATATAACTGGAAAGAAATGTTTACTAGAAATCGCTTGGTCTAGTTTTACATTTCGTTTCGATGCGTTCGCTTGGAGAGACCGACAACGGTGCAGTTCTCACGATGTATACGCCAAGACTCCCGCAGCTCAAATAGAAGACAGTAATCGACGGCGACTGACAAACCTATACGGGGCGAGGCTTTGGTATCAGATGAGCCAGGTGAAACTGTCGTCTACAATTTACACGTCCGTCAAGGACCCATCGACGAAAATTTTCGAGTCGGGCCCAGCTTCCCCGCTGGCGTTGCTGCCCCGCCCCCTCCAGATTCCCCCCTCCCCCCTACTTCATACTACTGTCATGTCTGGAGGGATACCCGCCAACCCGTTTTTGGAGGACATCAGCTTGTCAATATAGCGGTAGACCAAGATCCTGAAGAAATCGTTGCACTGTGCAAATTTGAATAGAATCATCACGATAACTCCTCCTGTACGCACATGGCCAGACATCGCGTCTGGAGTCGTTGGTGGGCCCAAGAAGTTCTGGCTCTACAGGCCAACGGGTATGATCTCATGCACCCACCCAAATACCCCACCTATATACCCGCGCATCGCGCTAGAGACAGCCATGGACCCCGGCTGCAATCGGCCCTCCCACAACCACGCTTTTGATTGTGGATCTGCAAAACTACATCGTATCCGCCCCCCATGACTAGCCGTCCCGCCGAAAGCGCGGGCATACCTATTGTCTTGCTGGGTGGGGCTTGACACAGGAGGATATCGATGTGATGCCATCCGCGATAATCAAGGGGTTTGTGGCGACAACTTTGAAGGCCCACAGACGAGTGCACGGCTGGGTGCGGACATCGAACCCCTGAAGCGCGACTATGGGCGGTCGAGTCTTGATGCGAGGCCAGTGGAACATGAAATTCGAACTGCACCTGGCAGCAAAGGCTGAGCCCCAAGACATCTAGATTTACAAGAATCGCCTGTCCTGGTTTTGAGGAGTTACGGGAATTGAGGAGGCTTTGACATCCCGTGGAATCAGGACTTTGCTATTTACCGGCGCTAATACATATCAATCTGTCGGTGGGAGCCTTCCGGAAGCCTCTACAAAGAGCTGGGACTACCTCTTGCTGAGCGACGGACGTGGAACTACGAGTCCGGAGTTTGCAAGGGAGTATATCGAACATAACTTCAAAGATTAAAAGAAGGATGGGGGTTTGGACTGGCTGGCAAACAGCTGGCTGACGGAGTCGACAATGTGCAGACGACGCCTGTGGAGAAGTTGAAACGGCGACTTTGTTCTTCGACGAATGATTGCTTTCATAGGGCGGAAAGGTTGTTGAGTTGTCCTAGTTCAAATTTGTATCCTCTGTCTGAAAACGATAATCGCCAACGATCAATATAAAGTACACGGAGCCTAGGACTTCGAATATACATGTAAACCCGAACTATTCGTCCTGCAATTGCTTACTCTGTCTTTTGCCAGTACCCACGAACATTCCCTTTCCTGGATAAGCGATCAACCCGCAGCAAGCTTCTCAAAAGCAAGATCATCCATGCAAGTAGCGGGCAGCCGCCATGCAGAACAACGCCAAGGCTCAGCTCCTCCCCACAGTTGTCAGCATTTACTTCTGCTTCGGGATCATATCTCTATCTACAATGTAGATCTTTTATTTCCCCGCAAAGCTCTTGGCGTAGGAAATTACTAGTTCAGGTTGCAGAGGCGAAAGCGATGCAGGGACAAACCATATCTAGTTCACTAGCTAAGCGAAGCGTGGTATGACTATTGGGAAGGCCGGGCAATTCTCCTGTCGTCACAGAGGATGGCTGAACCCTACATATGAATCGGCTCCAGGAATCATGAGATAGTACGAACCAACCGCCCTCTCGGCAGCTGATTGGGCTATGAGGCTAGGTACAGGCTAAACTTGTACCGAATAACATCATGATTGACGGAGCAAGCCTGCACATCGAAGATTCTCAGCTAGACCTACACAGATTGAGTTGCTTGCGCTAGAGTTTTCAAGCGGCATTGTGATTGCAAATCGAGCTCGCCTCCCGTCCATGAGGAGCCTATGGACGTAGGTGGCTCAGACCTAAGGACGCGAGGATGGCCATGGGAATAGGACGGCGTCAAAGTCTACAGAAACGGCCATCATCTCCCATCTGTACCTTAGCCTTTCATCAAAACCAGGAAGACAAGCCCGATATTCACACAAATACTACAAACCCATACTGAGTACGTTCTCTGTTAAACCTCCCTCAACCTCCTTCAAAATGATACATCAGATGATCTGCTAACAACAATTTCCCCCTCCAACCGATCCACAACCCCTCCCTCAACCTCCCTCAAAATGATACATCAGATGATCTGCTAACAACAATTTCCCCCTCCAACCGATCCACAACCCCTCCACTCCCCAACATGAAGTTCTTCACCGTCGCCGCCCCCAACCCCGAGGGCAATGTCCCTGCCGTCAAGCTCACGAAAGAGACCCTCAATGCCATTGCGGCCGCATATCCCGACCTCCACAAGCGAGAGTGCAGCTTTGACTTTATGTGGGTGTGTTTTTTGCGTCTAGATATGAATTCGGGAGGAAGTCACCACCATGATCAATGCTGGGATTTTGTTGAAGTAATCCGTGATGAGTTGGGATGTGAATGGTAGAGTCAGGGGTTGTGTCAGGGTACGGCTAGGCCGAAGGCAATAGTACAGAGTGATGGGGAGTAATGGGCGTCCCTCCTGCTTAGCATCGGGTGCTCACTGACGGTCACTAGCGGTCTCAGGTAGGGGTGCCCAAAGTGGTTCATTGATCTCTAACCTTCCTATCTTCTTCCCAGATACCTTCCCTCACATAGATAGCTAGAGTACGGAGTCGGAGCCGTAGAACACTAGTTCCTCCGATTCTTCAGTATACCAAGGCTTCCATACTAGTCCATGACTCGCACGTCCCTATACCGGTGCCATGCATCCAGCACTCTGACAGGTTGTCTTGTCTGAGAATGTAATGGGGGTGGAAGTAGTGCTCTTCAGGAAAGAGAGATCTGGTATACAACCCAAATGTGTATATACCGAATAAAGTCACGATCATAGTCATCTTGGTTCGTGTAAGAGGGGGGGGGAGTTGACTATAGTTACCTAAAGCATGTCAAGCAAGAGCTTCACGGTGTTGAGAACCGGGTCGGATCTCAATGGCATGATGAACAGCAAATATACATGTTAGTGCGTAGTAATTCAGTATTTATAATTGCTACGCCGTATAATCTTCAAGGCTGGAGAGAAGATAGAAACATGAAGATATAATTTGGAAAGGTCCATCAGCTGGAGAAAATACAGGCTAAATGGACTACCAAATGGCTCAACCACAGGCGACACAAAGGCTTCAACTCTTGTGGCTCCATCACCGCATGAGGCTCAAAGATATGACTGCTCGTCGGGTATGATATCCAGCCTGGTTATATCAAACATAGAACCGGCAGGACTTCGAGCCATCGAGGCTTCGAGCCATCGAGTAATCCAATGCCAAGCAATGCATTCAAACCCAACCCATGTTGCATAAGAGACAATCGCATGTGAAATCTACTATATTTCGTGATAGTTTCTGATCCACGTGCGGTCATCGGGCCTGGATTCCCATGCCATTGATTTCGAGTGGCGCCTTTGCTCTACCCCGTCTGTCCAAGCCGTAAGGACCTTGCAAGATATAATCCATGGAATGTGACAACATCCAGTTAACGTGATGATTTCCAAATATGACAACGGACCCAGTACCCATAGGCGCTACTGTCGCCATGTGCGCTCCAACAGCACTGCTGTAGTCGTGGGTTCCTAATACAGTCTTTCCAACTGAGCGTTTCCTCGTACCGATGATCCACACCCCAAGTAACATACAATATGTAGGGAATTCCTCCCATATGTACAGGGAAGCTAGTCCCCTACGACTTTCTTTCATAAATAACGTCGACTATGATAGAACCGGTGTTATGCTAAAAATATGGTATACGTCCTCCGTCTCTTCTTACTGTCCACTTTGCTGCTTCACAACAAATCGTCCACGTAACCCATCTTCTCCCTACGATCGTCTGAAATTCGCGCATACTCCAGCAGTAACCGCAGGGTGTAAATCTGCATGTCCTCTCTGCGCAGCACCTTCTCAGCCCAAGCCGAACCGTCCGTGGCAATCTTCTCAGCCTCCGCATCGTGCCCGGGAACGTCATCGCCGTACCCCAAGAAGTACTCCATAATGCCGTAGTAATCGCCAAAGCGGTTGTCCATGGGCACAAAGTGCTTCCAGGCGACCAGACGGCTGTCGTGCCACTCGCGGAACAGAGTGCTCTTAATAGGCAGCGAAGTGCTTCGGACGAAACCCAGGTACCGGCCAGAGAAGGAGTTGCCATCAATATCAGGTAGGTACTTGTAATCGAACTGCTCACTAAGCATTCGACCCGGTACTATTTCGTACTCGGGGTCCGTGTACGGACAACGGCCCCATTCCTGCTCCCCGAGCGTGTCATCGCAAAAGAGGTCGGTGAATCCAACATCAGCAAACGAGTCGACCCACTTGCCCAATCTGCCGTCCTTCTGTGCTTGAACGTCGTACGTGGGCGAGGGAAGCTCGAAATTCTTCGGGGATTCGACCTCGGCTTCGGCGCGGGTAAGTTTGGTGCCGTTGTTCATCGCGACAAACCGGTGTCTTTGAAAACCCTTCCAGTTCTTCTCCTTGTTGCGGCCCCCGGTGGCCACGCCGCGCCAGATCAGATCTCCTACCTTCTGATTCCAGGGCGCTCCGCGATCACCACCCCCTGTGAACCTCTCTTCCTCGTTCCAGTACATAGGGGCTGGCAACAGGATTTCGTTGTTGGTGGCAAGCTTGCTCCCTCCAAACATTGGGAAGAGGACCTTGGTCGCAGCTGTTGTCAGAGGCTTGATGAATATCCCCTCGAGTCCCTGCAGATCAGGTTGGTGGCAGAATTCGCGTGAGAGAGTAGAGTTGTACACATAACCCCGGTATTGATGCGGGTTGGCGTACGACGAAGTGAATTCAGGCGTCCTGTCGAATGACTTCATCGTGGCGGTTGTACGAGCAAGACTGTCAGGGGGACAACCACGACGGGCAATGAGCCAGTATGGTTCTACACCAAGATGTTAGCATTTCTGTTCTGGAACCCACCAGCGGCCTGAATCATCCCGCTGAGTATGCAAGGGGGCTATTACCGGTACCCTCCCACTTCTTGTTCCTGGTCTTGGGAGATTTGTCCATCTGTTTGGGACCAGGGAGTTGATTAAAATCAGTAACAACGTCCTTGGTAGGGACGATCGAACGACTCTTCTTCTCTTGCTGTACATAGCCGTTGATGTCTTCCCATGGCACGACCAGTCTCGGCTCGTCCATAGCGTTGAGCGCAATGTCCATGTCTGGCAATAGATGCTCAATCGTCTTGATCATATCCAGCCAAATTTGCGTCCAAAACCAGTCGCTCACGGCGGAGGCGTTGCCGTTGCGAATATTAATGGTCATTTCGTAATCCCAGGCCTCTTTACGAATCCTCTTGGGGTCGAGACCCCAAAAGGGGTTGAGGTCGTGGTAGATCTGATCCCAGAAATCCTCAATCATGACGGCGTTCCGCTCCTTTGCAAATTCGTACCAAGCGTCGAAACCTGGAGGAGGGTGCCTTCCTCGTTGCTCGCGGTATGCCGCAGCAGCTGCAGCGAGTGAATGCGACTCCTTCGCCAGCACCTTTGTGAAGTCGGACTCTGCCGCCCTGATCAACGAATCGATGGGATGCTCATCGGATGTCGAGTCATATATCAACTTTTCTTTCTCGTCATTGTAGGATGGTGTTTTTCCTGTTGAAGATGAATCCTGCGAACTCTTGGATCCCTGCGACCCCGGGCCGGGAGAGAAATACGAATCGTGCTTCCCATTGGAGCTTGGGCCATGACTCTCGATATATGTAGGCGGCACGTCTGATGTTGTCGGAGACAGGTAGTAGAAGAGCGTTATGAGCACCGCGGCAGGCAGTATGTATCGGACGAGATGGGACGGCCGCCGGGGAGGAAACGCCGGGGATCGCATCGTGAGGCAAAGACGACGGTCCGTAAACGGCGCCAGGACGTCGTCTAAGCGGATCTAACCGTGATCCCTTGCGTGGGTGTAAGGAAGCAAACAGGCAGCAGACGTGGAGTTTGCTGGCTCGACTGGGCCAACGGCTCGATTATGCGGAGGAGAAGGATTAGGGTGCTAGGGAAGTCAAATGCAGACGACAAGCCCAAGTCTTCGGGACCGCCGCCTAGCTGTGCTTAGGCGGGCGCCACGCCGTGTAGGTGAGAAGTCAAAAAACACACGGGGAACTTGAGCGGGGCCGGATGGTTCGATCGTGAAATGGCGGCAGGCTAGAACTGTATCAACTAAATATCACGAAAGGTGAAGGCGTGCGCAATGAAAGGATGCGCAGCGCAGCAGTTATTGGCCGTTCGACGTTTCGTGGATCACTACTCCAGGTCGCAGGTGCGATCAAGCAGTGGAATCATGAGTAAGCCTCTAGGCTGAATATCAAAAGAGCGTACTGCCTCACGATGAGGGAGAATGAGGGATTCGACTCGACTGAAGAGAAGCGATCTCGCGGCGTTGTGGAATTGTCGTCGGAGTCGTGGTCGTTGTTCGGTGGTCGAGTTCGAAAACGGGAGAGGCTCGAATAAGGATGGACAAAAAGCGACAGGAGATTGTTTAGCCCCTGCGTCTTGACGCTGTCAGCATCCGCGACGCTATGCAAGCCGTTCCTTGTCTCAAATGCAACAGCGAATAGATTGCGACGACAGGCACAGAAGCCAGATGACTGCGTCTGATTGGGTGCTGGAGATGCAATTAATGATTACGGAAAACGAACCCTCCGTCGCTATTTTCGTCCTGCGTCTCCAACAAGCCTTGAAGTGCTTGGACGGGCGAGCCGAAGTGGACAGAAACAATGGAACACCTTGAAAGAGAACAGCGTGAAGCGTGGAAGAAGTGCCTGCTCGAATTGAGGATGGAAGGATCGATCTTCGTAGTATATCAAAGAAACGACGTGCTATCATAATAATAATAGAAATTATCCGTCTCCATGGTTTTGATTGCGTACCGAGTCAGGTCATGACGAGGTGCCCAGCTCCGGAACAGCGGTGGACCCTTGCGCCGATACTCCCCCACTGACGACCTGCAAATATTTAGATTTCGTAGCTGGGTAGGGCTGAGCCGAGGTCAAGGGATGGAATGACGCAAGCACGGGCATTGGACATTTTGAAGCATAAACGGCTGGCTGTTGAGATGGTGTGCCATTGATGATAATGGATTTACAAACCCGGCGCTTATGCTGCGTAGGGCTATTAATTCTAGTAGATACGAGTGGATTGATATGACTTCCTTAGAAAGTCCGTCCCTGCGCGATATGCATGCGTATACATAATAACTAGTATGCACCACAACCAATCTAAAAGGCTTATAAAGGCCGGGACACTCTGAAGTAGATAAAACCAGTAATTGTACTAGAGTTGAGCCTCATCTTGATGTCTCATCAGATAGGTCTCATCATGAGAGTCAAACCTGCCTGTTGTGAAAATGTCTTTGCTGCATATGCAGACCCGTCTCTGCAAAGCCCACAAGGGTTATTCACACAACGCGTGACGTGGTCTAGCAAGCCCTGGAAGATTGTGCCGTGATTCCTTCAACTGGTTCAACCCCCCACAAAATGCAATGAGAGTAAACCGGCCGGCCAGCTCTAGGTATACCGGCGGCTACATAATGTATCTCCTCTCTGTTCACGGTTGAAACGGAAAGCACGAATCAATGAATGAATCGCTTATTTTCACACTTCGCTACAGGCAGTCAATTGCTCCAAACAAGAGAAAGTCTGCCTGGGGAGGCCGCAAGGATGTTTTAGTTGCTGCGCCACAAACCGCAGCGCGCACATAGTCCTAACACGTTTCGACGGATGGTGGTTTGTGTCAAGATGTTGTGTAACCACTGTCGTGACCAAGTTAGCTATTCCAACTACCGTTGAAGATCGACATGGGAGCAAAAGCGCGGCAGATCTGGGTAACCCTTGCTTATGCGGTACCCTACCTGCGGAATGGCCCATGGGGAGTCTGTGCTATTTACTGTAGGACGCTAAGATGGGATGGATGTGTGGGTTTGGTCTCGACTCGCCGGTTAGTTGATTGGACTTGTAGAGTACTAAAACTCAATGGCCCGTACACATGTCAGCAAGCTAAGTTTCATAGAACGACTCGAGGGAGGATAGAGGGAAATATCTTCGTATCAGCACTGAAGCCAGTTTTGTCTAACTTGTCCTGTCTAATGCAACCCGAACCTTTCGATATGCAGTTCATCTAGCTTCATACACATCCTTTACACGAGTATATGATCGCCCCTTGCCAGGGCAGAGGGGAGTTCATATCATACATCCATATTCGTACACACATATACAATAAATTACATCGTCTCCATAGATGCGCATTTCGTCACAAATCGATGGTAGTCCCAAAATCGGTATCCGCACCGTGTACGGTGCCTTCGTCCTGGCTGCGGCCGATTAGGTCTACGAAACTAGGGCGGAATGGCCACTGCATCCAAAGGTCGAGCAGCTCAGCCCACTGCGCGCTATTCAACATGCGGGGTGTAAGGGATGCATGAGAGCTGTCGACATCGATACCGCCCCGCTCGGAATCTCGGATGCTGTGCCACCGCGGAATGATGAATTCGGCAGCGCCAGGCCACAAAGCGGCAAGTGCCTTGTTAATAGGTTGCGTGCCTATCGACAACATGGAGCGCATGATCAACTCGAAAGAGTCGCCGGCGCGGTTGGAATTGGGACCCATCTCCCGCATAAGCGGATGCACCGCCTTGGGCTGGAGATCGAGCAGGCAGCACTCGATGTTGGGATAAAATTCGTCGGGGAGTACGGCCAGGGGCTCAATGTCGCGGCGGTCCCAATGCATCACGGGTGGGTTCTGGCGCATGAAGTGCAGGTTGTCCCGGTAGGTAATATATTCACCCATATGTTTCGCTCCGTTGCGGGACATGCTCGCATGCCATGCTGCTTCCATGTCGCGGATCTCTTCGGGAGTTGCCCGACCCGATTTCTTGGCCTCCACAATGTCGTCCAGGCGCTGTTGCCACTCGTATAAACACAGGTGCCTCTTTACTTCCCAGTTCTCACGCCATTGGTATCTTTGCATTTGTTTGTAGCGCGGGTCCGTATGCCTGTCGAATCCTTCGGCCAGCTCGTTTTTCTCTTTGAGCTTGCTGAGGACGTCGTGGTAGGGGCGGTCGAAGGAGGGAACCGAGCTGCCGGGGACGATGGCGATACCCTGCTCCAAATTGGCCACGGCCTCCCTGTATGATTCATTGCTTCTTCCGCTAGGCATCACAGTGCCTGCATCGCGCATCCTTTGGGCCGTCCACAGCGAACTAGCCTTTTCGAGTTGGGTTTCTCGTTTGAACCACAGAGGGTCACCGTTTGCCGTTCCACACACCTCGCGGAAATGATCGCAGTAGAGTTCGCTAAGAACGGCAGAGATACCGCGCCTCTGCATGAACCTTGGCAGTATACGAGTCTTGTCGTCGAAACGAGTCCAGATTAGCATGCGCACGAGGCCGTAGCTTTGAAAGAGACTGTTGGTGGCAATAGATTCGATGAACTGGTGCAGGACCATGAGGGTGATAGAGTCGAACATGCGAAAGCGTTTTTTGGGATGGAAGGCGAAGTTGGCCGTGACCAGGAGGGTATCGTTGCGTTGCTGCAGCTTTTCCGAGCCCCGAGGGTGCTGCGTCTGATGGGGGAGGTATTCTGGGGTCAAAACTGACAGTAAATCTTTCCACAAAATTCCAGACTTGGGGACCAGTCTAGTGCCAGACTTTTGGAGAAGGGATTTAAGGAAGGGCGTGTATAGCTCGGCCTCCGGTTCCAAGAGGAGATGGGATCGGGGTTGCAGCAAATCGTTCAACTTGCTGCTCCAAAGGCCAGCGCCTGGGTTGATGTCGATGATGTCGCATCCTCTGTGGCGCTCGAGGGATGGGCCTATGTACGAAACGATGTCGTCGCCGAGTTTGTCGCTGACAAGATGGACTCGTTGCTTGTCGCCCTTGACTGAAGGGGACTTGGGTACAGATGATGTTCTTGTTCTTCGTTTTGTTTGTTCTTCGACAAAGTCTGGCTGCGTTGCTTTGCTGGGTGCTCTAGTCCGCCATATGCCCGTGTCGCGAAGCTTCTCAGCCAGTGGCGTGGTAGCCTTCAGGTCTTCGCTCGTGAGGCGAATGGATGTGGCGGCAAGCGTCGGCCGAGTATACGACAGGGCACGTCGACTTGTGAGCGGGAACGAGGTCTTCGGCACATGACGGCAAGTCGCCTGTATGCTCGAGTGAGGGAGACGGGTGGGAAGCATTCCCAGCACTTCTAGTCCCTGGACATGGACAATACAGAATGGGCAACGGACTCAAGAATTATGCTTGTATGAATTGCGGGCGGCAGTGCTGGGAGATGCTTGTCCAAAATCTCCCAAGTTTTATGGCTGGTTTCAAGGTCCGGCGCTTTTCTTTTACTGCCATCCGTCACCGCCTCGATTCGGTACAGGGAAGTAACGACAGTTGCCGCATGTAAAAACCACAGCCACTGGCTCAATTGTCATAATATATGTATTTTGCAGCCCTGCTTCTACTCTTCGGTTCCACGTATACTAGCCCCGTAGGAGACGTAGCTATCTGACGCGGCTAGGAACAGAGTCCATTAGCCGGTCAACAATAGTCAGTAATACTATCCACCACACCTCTCGGATCTAGTCCTTTATAGAATACCTGTTAGCCTTGTTATCTTTGAGAATATATGCGATAGGGTATTTTTATATATAAGTGATACGTGACCCCATGGGGGTTACCCTATAGCTATAGATAAGATAGATTAGGGCTATAAAAGAGCTCTGCCAGGCCAGAATAGCTGACCTGGCCATCCTTTCCCAATACAACAATTCACACCCCATATGCACTCGCATCAATAAGCCTTTGTTTAGTGCTATATCTGACTTAGGGGCAGGGTTGTTAAGCCTCTTTTTCGGTTTTATGTTCTTTTCGTTTTCCAGATGATTTATGTAATAAGTGTGCTTTTTAAGGATATAAAAGGACCTGGAAAATCTAGGTAGACATTCGCTAGGCGAGAAGAGCGACAAGCAGAAGGAAACGATGTTCGTTCCTTTTGCCTGTTAAGGCATCAATTATTTTGCAACCTGCTTAGGGCCTATTCTGTCGTGAATGCATGTTAAGGTACTTCTATAATTTAAGTCGATTAATTCAATCCTGTCAAGGCTTTAGTCTAATATTATTATGATTATTATTAAATACGCCATGGGCTCGAAGTCTCCGGTACCTCTACTAGTACTCCCGTATGCCAATGGCGCCCTAATGGCTGGACTAAATACACTCGCTACTTAGTCGGTTCGGGTCTATTCTTAATATGTTGAGGTGATGCTATTCAAGGACCTGTTAAGGCTCTCTTCTGTTTTTTATGTCTGTGAAGGCCCAGTCGATTATTCGTGCCAACTGAGGAACTATATGTATCCGCTAAAATCCTTTTCTGACTCTTTCTTTGCTCTAAGTGCACTACCTATCATCGGAGGCATATCGCTGCTAACTTCCCATGCTCAAGTGGTCAAAGCATGTCAGGAGATGGATAATCCCCCGGTTGTTAGCCGGCCGCCGCAAAATAGACCAGGAAGACACATGGTTCGTTTCTAAATCGACCATCGGAACGGTTTGTCCACATGGGCAAACGCGGGTGCCCCGCTCCGGTGTGTACTAGTCACGGTCACTGTAAAATTGGGTCATGCTTAAATAGTGTAGGAACAATTTGGAGCCAAGTGGGATAGGGTCATTGCAGACAACAAGCACATCGAAGGCTCCACCGCCAGCGACTAACCATCCCACAATAACGTGTACGACATCGTGCTGACCACGGATTCTCTTGTTACCAAATGCTTCCCGCCGTATACACCCGCGCCGGTTGAGGCCGAAGTATAATATCTAATGTTGGATTCATATGGGGCTCATCTTGATGACGATTTCAAGTATGACGCAACTCAAATTCTCGTCAGAAGCCTATTATTCATGTGCAATACGTAATTTTGCAAGCTTCTTTTGGTAATTTTCTTGTCTGTCTCGAGCAGCTCCGTTAGTAAATTTGCTCTTGAGACTCCCAAGGTAATCTCTTAGATTTAAGTGATAAATACCAACTTTAGTTGTTGTGGTGACCTACAACCCCTTATTGCGACCTGCATTAGATGAGATGGACCAGGTTACTGGGTTTGGAAATATGCTAGATACGGCTGATCCGGACAATCCTGCTCATCTCAACGACGAATGGTACCAGGACTGGTTCTATTCGATTTTGAACGAGTCCCGGGACCCAGATGTCGAGGAACCTGTGCCTGGACCTACGAAGATTGTGTCAGAAGGGGTGGGGCCAGCATCTAGCATTTTGGTACCCGTAGAAAGGATAAAGAACGTAACGATATAAAAAGAGGACTAGAGAGTTGTGACGGCTTACTCGGTACCACAATGAGATTAGCGCCATACGCTTTCCTCTGCAACTCGAGCTTTAGTGTAGATTGATATTGCGCTCGTTGAATGACCAGTTACTTGAGTGACGATATGTAAATATGTTACGTGACACACCTACCTGACTGCTATGAATCACTATCCGTGGAAGTTGATATTCACAATTTATGGCCTGCGGTGAATGAGAATAACCATAGACCACCAACTAATAAGTATTTTAATTCCCGAAACTTTCGATTCTCAAAATCTCAGAAGATTTTAAACTACAAGTCCAACATGTATTTTCGCCGCAGCAGTCCAGCACCGACAACACACATCATTATGATATCCACTATCTGGCCTTTTCTCCTCTTTGCAAGCCAAAATCCGTTAATCAAACCAGGTCGAGTTGATCCATTCGATACCAGTTCCGTTTCCACTACGGCAAGCCCAACCCTTCCCGGTGTCTATCTCGACCTCAGCAATGCCCTGACACAGTCCTCTAATCCATGTAACAGGGATGATGCGTCAAGATAGACACAGTACGATCATTTATGTCCATGCGACGTGTTCTTCACCGGTGGTTGATGCAGATGTCATTCTTAATGGTGAAAATATCCGAAACGGCGTCGTGTAACACGGTCATTCGGATGGGGATAGTAATCTCAGGGTGAATGCAGATGATGACCCAGGGGAGTTAGCCCTCTTTGGTAGACCCGCCACGAATAAAGAGGTAGCTGCAAACAACGGGAGGGATCGTCTTGCATTGATAGTAGTGGGTCGGTTGGGGCGCTGTCGGAGCTGAGAGGTTTAGATCTGCATTTAATTTGGCATGGAGAAGAACCCCGTACATTCCACCGATGCAATTGTTTCTTGTGTTTGCATGAACTCAGTGACAGCTAACTCGACTGTTTGATTTGTTCAGGTTCTGATAAAACTAAGTAAAGCTCCATGATGACAGCACCTTGTCCTTAATACATAGCCGTCCTTTTAATGCCAACCCTCAAAGTCCACCAGGAACTCGTTCATGGCATCCTTCTTTCCCAGAGGCACACCCTTGCTCCTCAAAATTGCGTATATCATGTTCAAATGGAAGAACGCCGTGGGGATCACGTACCCCTGCGCATAATTGATAGCAGTAGCCTTCATCTCCAAACGGCCAAAGCTACACGGGACTATCTCCGCCTTCTTGCTATCAACATCAGACTTCTTGACCTCGCCCAGTTGCTTCAACGTCTCGTCAATGATAGCGTGCAGCTCCTCGATAGTCTTCTCTTTGAATTCGGGGCCGGGCAATTCGGGGCCCGACAGTCGCTGGATGGCCTTCTTGCACGTGCTGGCGGAGATGACGACGTTGTCGCTCAGAGAGAGCATGTCCTCGTAGAGACGGGAGTCCATGAGGTCGGTGGTGGAGATGTTGTTTTCCTTAGCCCAGGTCTCACCCTTCTTGAGGATGGCGGACATGGTCCTCATGATCTTGGCCAGAACGGGGATGCTGACGTCATAGAGAGAAGTCATGATGGGCAATTTCTGGTGTGGTTTTGGAGGATATCTGGTAGTTTCCTGAAAAACCCGAAGAATCCGAAGCTTGGGAATAATTGCCTTTTGTGCAGTGGAATGGAGGGTTGCCAAGTGTCTATCGTGTTTCAGTTGTGTTTTGATGGAATTTGATATAATTCTCGTTTGAACAAATGGACTTGCGACAAATAATACGTAGCCAAGCCTCTGAGGAGGTTGGAGCGGGGATTAAGTACCCCGTTTTGTCTTCTTATCCGTCTTCGCGCAACCGTTGATACTCCTCACCGCCAAATCAAGATTTCTAAGCAGTGTAAATAATCCATGGGCTTCTACTTATTTCGCCTGAGAATCGCCTGAACTTCGAGAAGGTCATCAAGATCACAATATGACTCAACCTAGTGCGCACCAACCACAACAACCCACCAAATCTCCGGAGTCTGCTGTGGAGACAATATCAACCCGGAGACCTGGTAGGTTGTGGTAGGTTGATCGAGCTGATATTTAGTAGCGGCCATATCTGAGTTGTTGTATCACACGACTAGTTAGCTTTTAATTAGGTGATTGATAGGTAGGGCGCTAAATTAAACTAGGAGGGAGGAGGATTTACTTTACTAGTTATATATTTATGTAACCTGATACTGATCATTTGCTACTATAACGTCCCACACCCACATACGGGACACCCCCACATGTGGGACGCCCTAAAAATGATGCTGTATATTATAACCATTGATTTCAACTTTTTTTACACTTATTCTGATGCAACTACAATACAGCTTTCACCGTCAATAGGGTTTTCAGACTCGCTGGACTCATCTGTACTATCCTCAATTTCACCAGCCTCGATTTGAGCCTTCCGAATAACCTTGATATTAGTAAACTTCGAATTTGGGCTCATCTTGACCTTCCTCCGCTTCCTAGCCCTACTAGCCTCAAGCTCTGCCTCTATTGCCTAAATCTTTCGCTGTGCGACAGCTAATTGGTAGTCCTTCTCATCAAAACCATTTTGAACTTTCCGAAAGAGTAGCCGCTGGGTATTTGGATCACTATCAAGCTTGCTGAATAAGCTGAGTTGATCTTGGAGATCATCTCTCCTCTTAGGCGTTGACCAGGCTACTGCTGATGTCTCTAACGCCCAGTACTGACTACTAGAGTGCCCTTTGCAAGTCTGACTAGGCTGTTTGATTGGTCCTGACGTATTCTCAAGGAGCAGGGGGCTCATAAGGGGTCTAGCTATGCTCGAAGGCCAGAGACCAGTATATTTCCATCCACTGATAATGTTCTTAACGGTCAATTCTGCTAGACGTGCCTTTCTATAGCAGAGGAGAAAGTTTCTCTTCCCTACGACAGTAGTAGTATCCCATTGGTTAAGGCAACCAAGCTCTTTCTTATAGGCTGCCTTGAGGGGTCCAAAGACTGACTGATCGAGAAGCTGGAGAACATGGGATGTGTGTGGCGGTAAGAAAAGCAAGTGTATCTTGTTTATGAAGCAGAGGTACATAAACTCTGTCGTTTCGTGGCTACTATGCCCATCTAGGATAAGTAACCTAGTCTCTTCAGGGTCCTCTGGTTAAGTCAAAGGAATAAAGATCTTTTGTAGCCACTCAATAGCCGTAGAGTCTGACGTCCACCCATTCTCTGTTGCTGTAAACCTCCAGGCTTCGTATGGAGTCAAGTCTAGAGGAAACCACTGCTGCTGGACAGACTTCCCCTTGTATATCAAAAGTGGGGGTAGTGCAGTACCAGTCGCAGAGATACACTCTATAAGAGATGTCCAAGCTCGAGATCCAGGCTATTTCTTCCGTATAGAACGAGTCTCAGATGATCATAGAACAAGACCATTTGATCCTCTACCTTCTAGAATACCTGTCTCATCCATATTGTATCGATTCGACGCCTTAATAGCTTTGATCTCAGGGATAGCGAGGTATTTGAACCATTGCCTGATCACATTAGCTGAGGCTCCATTAATACGCTGGGAATCGATAGCTCTGCTTCTCTGGACCTTGACTGAAGGGTTCCCCTTGATAAAAGCCTGGACCCAGTTCTTTCCAAGTGGTTTGGTGTCTCCGTGGATCTGTAGGATACGCTCGGCAAAGTCTTTGAGCTGTTGATGGGTTGGTGGGAGGCCTAGGGCAGCCTGGATTCGAATCCATTCAGCCAGATGAGATTCCTGGGCTGGAGAGAGCCTCTGGTAGTCAGCAAAGGCTATATCTCTTGACTGGGCTCCCTGAAATCGTCGTGAAAGAGTAGACCTTGGGACACCATGCTCATATGCTGCTTTTCGGAGGCCTTGACCGGTAGCTATTGCTTGAAGAGCTTGATAAATATAATCTTCGGTATATTGACTCATATTAGTGTAAAGAAGACGTACGTAAAACTTCGTAACGATTGAATCGATATTGTTAAAGACAAAAGAGGTTGAATTTAGAGGCTAGCGGTGTTGATGAGGCATTTTTGGGTGTCCCACATGTGGGGGTGTCCCGGATGTGGGTGTGGGACGTTATCTATTATCTATGGTAGTAGGTCTCTTTGATTAAGAGAAACACATAGACAAGATTATTTCTGTATCAACTTGCTATAAAAATAGCATGAACGAATACGATGCAGCCCGATTATACCAGATATAGTCCTCAACGCTATCTGGAGGAGCGAATAAGACAGGTCCGACCTTACTATCATAAGAAGTATACGAAATAAATTAGCTTCCAACGGCGTATAAGAGGACATAATTAAGGAGTGGATTCTGTGAGAAGAGCTCTAGCGAAGGACTCTATCAAAGCGTTTCGAAACTAGATTTATAGAGTAGACGGCACTAGCCTTGGGAAAAAAAGACAAGAAAAAACGGTAAGTTAAGTAAAACATGTCATGGAGCTAGGTTGATATGAAAAGGTAGGGGGACCCACTGGTTAGGTGAATCCTATTCAATTAGGTACTATAACGTTGCGCACTACTGCATTATAGTACCCTCCCCCCTAGTAGCACGCATCATAGGTCGTTCCCATATCCTCTGCTCTGCATCAATACAATAACCTATACTTGAGCCTTCGCACTGAGAATTTACAGCGTACTGGACCCTTCATATTTGTATTGATCCTTCTTTCAATAACAGCGGCTTTAACTGCTGTCGGACAGGTCCCTTGGAACAGAAGCCTAGTCCTTCACATGGCCCTTAATAGAAGCTAGACCACGTCAAGTTCTACCACTGATAAGGCGCTTTCTCCATTATAAGTTCCGTCTCGTTGGTGCCGGTTATGCAGCTGCATAATCGCGTAATCTTGTCTGTGCACAGTGTCTTCTTCATGATTCGGGTATTTCGTCTCTGCAGTAGCCACGCGCCTTTCCATTACTATGATTTCATGTACTCACTAACCAGTTTACCCAGCTTCCGATTCCGTGGATCTTGTACATTCATTGGGAGCCAGGTGTTGTCTCACTATAAATCATGCACATTCTCAAATGCTACAACTTCCTCTACTCACTTGGATCCAGGTTTGAGCCAGGTTTCGTCTAGCCACTAACTACACCTTTGCTATGTCTTAGTTTCGTTCATTCACTAACTGTATAACTTTCTAACTTTGGAGTTCCGTCTACTAACCCAGAAACTAGGCAACTTCCCAATGCCGCAATTCTCGTATATTCGCTAAGTTTTCACGTTCCTAATGCTGTAATTCCTCTATACAACCAGGCATAGGTTTCATCTATTAACTGCGTATCCACCTTCCTAATCGCGTTATTTTCGTCTACTCAGTATGCACCTTCCCAATGCCGTAACTTCGTCTAAATCCCTGATTATGCACCTTGCAAATCCACAATTCCGTTCGTGTTCTTCCCAATTTTGTCGCATCCTTAAAACCGTTTGTTTCATGAGGAATCAAAGAAGTCGAGGCCGTGAGAAAGAAGTCTATGCATTGTGTCTGTAGATACGTGTTCAACGAGAATAAAAATGCTGACCATTGACTTGGTGAAGAGGGAGTGCTCAAATAATCCACCGCAGCAAACGCAAACGCAATGCCGCCAAAACTACATCTCAGAGTAAAGTCAACGCCAGGCTAGTACGTCATGCCATGTACTATGAGCCCCAAAATCCAAAACCATTACTTTCATCAGTACCAGCAACCAGAAACCAACGCAATGTCAACCGTGGTATCCCGGAACTCCCTAATCGTCGTGCCACCCGCCAGAATAAGCATCACCAAGTTAGTCCTTCGTGACCCAAAGCCAAACAACCGGCTTCTCGCCGACGCCAGTGCGGCCAGTGCGACTCCTGTCCCAACCAAGTTCCTTGAGAGTATTCTTCATGTTATCCTTATCATCAGCACAGAAAGTAATACCCTTGTACCACTTTCCATTGCCACCCTGGACAACCTCCGTGATCCTGTTCTTCCTAGGAGTCGGGTTAGTGGCACCGAAACCCTTCATCAGGTCACCGAGGGTCGTGTTGACCGGAACATGGTAAGCACAAAATGCAAGGCTCATGCTGGGTGGCAGACGCCACGGAGGCTCGCGCGACTTGAGCACGTGAAGCTTGGTGTGCTCTGCCGGGAAGTAGTAGTTATAGCCCGGTTCACAGCCAGCACCGCCCGTGCTGTTCTGCAAGTTAAGAGCAGGTACATCGGGGTTGACAACGGGGTGAGGCTGTAGGTTGCGAGGCTGACCGGGGAACACAGGCATAGCAGGGCTATACCCATTTGCATTCATGGTGTATACGGGGCCTTGACCGTTCGGTGGACCAGGAACACCATATGACTGCTGGGGCATCATGTTGGTTCCCGGCATCATTCCTGCAAGGTTATAAGTACCATAGTCGATAGCTCCAGTGCCGAAAGTGGGCATAGGGTATCCATAGCCGCCTCCGTATCCATACACACCGCCATTGACAGCCTGACCAGCACCGGCGACAGGAGGAGGGCCGCCGGCATCCCAGCCGGAAGCGGGGTTCCAACCACCTGCAAAGCCCGACATTGTGGTTGGAAAGTTCGTTCGGTGATTGGGAAGGTATTGGTGGAGAAAAGCGAGGTTGGGGGCTTGAGAAGGAAATGCTAAGTCACGATATTAGTAGGTAATCGCGCGAGAACGAGTCGTTGATATAAAGGGGAAAAGAGAGTACCATGGCTCAAGAGCGGGTTCGGGTTCATATATGAGACAGACATTACGTGAATTGCCCAGGGGCAGGGAGTCACTTACCAGTTGTCTGTTGAGTCAACTCCGGGGGAAGAGTAGGAGGTGGTATGACGCCGAGAAAGATCTCAATGTGCCAAATTTCGTTGTCTTCAGCGTCGTAGAAGGATGCTACGACCAACCAGGCCCAAATCCCGTGACTTCGGATATGCCAAAAGAGCTGGCCGATAGCACACTTGACTGCCGGATAGGGAAATTCAATAGAAGCCTGTTGGCCAGGCAGAGGATCCACTTTGACGATGGTATTTGCGGCTAGTCACAACTAGCCACGGTCGAATAATGTTTGACGGTTTGCGATATAAGTGGCGTAAAGGAGATGGGCAAGGTTGTTTGCTCCAATAGCTGATTACTATAGAGTCAACAAGTAAATGCCGATATGTCGACTGGGGACAACTTCAGACTGCGTCAGTGTGATGCCGACTTGAGCAACCGTTGATGAAAGTTGTCGATGTGACTGGAATTGTCAACTGTTGACAGGCCCAGACCGCGCCAATACGATACGGATGCCGATTGTTGACAAGAACAGCAGAGTTGATGTTATGCTTTAGAAGAGTGATGGGCGAGGTAGGGCGTGCTTGGTTAAGTAGGGACTAGATGTGAAGAGATGATGTGTGTGAGGAAGGATTGGGAAGTCGATTCTGACCAGGGCGAAGGCACATAATAAATAGTTCTCGCAAGTGCGGTAGGATGAATTACTCAGTGAATCTGTAGAGCCTGGACGTGAATTGACGCGAATTGTTTGAGCCCGGAGAAATTATTGAGTCTGATAGTGAATCGACATAAGGCCAAAGGGAGTGAGAGAGGACGTCGGACGAGAAGCCAGGCGATGAATTGATGTAAGGTGTTCGGCCTTGGAAGAAGTGTCGAGGCTGATGGTGAATCAGCATAAAGCTTTTAGTAGTGGGATAGAGGATGTCGGACGATAACCATGGTATCGAATCGATGTAGAATATCTCAAGTCGATCAGGCCATGAGGTATTGGTGTTTTTAGCATAGCAATATAAAGTGTTTGGTAATGTAAGAATTGTTGAGACCGCTCGTGAATCGATGTCAAGCCTGGGGGGTGGGGGGAAAGGCTGTCGGATGACAAGGCTTTGCGGTGAATAGACGTAGAATATGAGATGAGATGAGGGTGTGAGGTGTTCAGACTGGTAGTACATTGATACGCAGTGGTTGCTTGAGAGTAGAAGAAGCGTTGAGCCAGCTGGTATACCAACACGAAGTGTTTATATGAGAGTGGAAGAAGCATTGAGACTTGCAGTGCAGCGGCGCAAACCCTTTGAAATAAGCAGAGGTTGTGGGGCGCAGAGCCCGAAAGTGAATTGACGTTCAGTATGTGGTGTCGGTTGAGACCGGCAGTGTATCGACACAATGCATTTGATAGTGGGTGAGACGGTGATATATTGGGCCGGACGCGAATTGAGGCAGAATATTGAAGTCTTACAAGGGTATGGAGCAGGGAGACCGGCAACGGAAGCTTATACAGAGCCGACGAGTGTCGCCGGACTTGCGTCCGGAAGTGAATTGAGGTCTACTCGGTTATGGTGGGCTCTCTCATGAATTCACCGGGATTTGAGTGACTAAAACTCAACAAGAAAGCGCCGAGGAGTTGGGAAATGATGACACCACAGCGGGGGTATAACGACTCGGGCTGTAGGAACTTGACATGAGTACACTGAGTACAAGGGGCATGCTCAATCCTCAGTCAAAAGTCGTCGCTCAAGCGACCAGAGCGAAAATGAGTTAACGAGGAATACGATCTCGACAACGGTTGTCAAAGATACGAATCGATTTATCAAGAGCGACATAGCGCAGAAAACACACGGCGTCATTGAGGCCTCCGCCAAATAGATATCATCTGGAGTACACCGAACCTTGGCCGAATAGTGACTTGATGCCGAAAAGTGCATGTTAACCAGTAGTAAATCTTGTCAACCCGTGGATCTCTGACAAATAGTGAATTTGTCCTACAGGCCAACAAGGTCACAAAGTGGGGACGTCATAGAGGTACGATCAAGTTGGCTATAATCAAACGTCGAGGACCAAGTGCGGGCAACGATGGACAATTTGTTTGGGCTGAATAGTGTAACTATGATTGGGTTCGACCAAAGGAGACTCGGGAGACTGATTTCAGACTCGTAGTGACTTCAGCACGAATGGTACGAAAGCGTAAATGCGAGAAATCCACTTTGGCCGAAGTGTTCGTAGCCACGAGGGTAAAGGCAGCAATTGACGCACTCCATGTTCATAGAAGTGTCAGTGATCTGAAGTCATCGAGTAGACAAGTAGCTGGCTAGGACTATGATTTGATGGGTAGTGCAGGAAGGAGTTGTAACAATAACAGCCCCAGAGTAGCTTTTCAGTGGAGACCAAACAAGATCAGAAATGAACTAAACGGGGGCGGGATATTCGTAGGCTGTGAGACCGTTGATCATCAGGACAAGACGTACTTTGAATGAGGATTGGCCTGAACATGGGCTCTGAAGTCTTGGAGACAGCCTACAACGTGTTTGATTGGACTGATGCGAAGAACAGCAACGTAGGTATAGTCAATCAAGTTTTGATATGATTTAGGTATTCGAAAGGACGATAGAGTCGACATCAAAACGCCAGGAGCCTCGTTGAAATGATCTGTAGTCGTGCCAGTCGGAAAATGGAAGACTGCCGCCATTTCCATGCAGCCGTCAAGTAAATAATGACACGGGCTTCCAGGTCCCCATGAACTTCAAAGTGGAGTTTTGGGCATGTGTTCCTCCCAAGACCTGCCGTGGTCCATCGGCCACAAGCGAATGCAAGCTCGAAAAAGATCAGACGGGGTTACATGATGCTTGATAGGTTTCTCCGACCGTGATTCGCCAGAATATCGACAGATTGAGCACCTGAGGGTAGTTCAACATGACCATTGCCATCAAGCCCCCTGTCATGAATTCGTAGAGCAATCATAGGAGCTCTAGTATCTGTGTTAACCACAGGAAAGGACTCAGGAATGCTCCCGATGACAGTGACAACAGTGGTTTACCTCCAGGCTTCGCAGTAGCAGCATTCAACTTCGATAGATCGGCCGTGTATCGACGTTGTGATGCCAAGCACACAAGAAATGGCACCAAGAGGGCCACATGGTGTTGACTGAGGCTCTCCTAACGACTGGTCGTAATTGTCTCATAAGCTCGCAGTCCACGAGACTACATCATGGGGAAATGTCAGACTCGCCTTGAAGACCAAGCAGATAACCCCCTCCATGCTGCTTATTGCCGTTTGCCGACGATCATGCGATATACTTTGCGAGTACCATATCAGCCAAGAGTACTTTTGCCAGTTATGAGCAAAGCCTTCAGGGCAAAGCCTTCAGGAAGGCCCCCAAGGACCCAGGAAATTGGAGGAAAAATACCTGGAATAGTGTGACTTGTACACTCATTTGACATTTGCATTCGGTCCGCTGACATATTGAGACAAGACAGCAAGCAGTGCAGCGCTTGATACTGCGATCATGCTCAGTCTTCAGCAACGGAGTCTTCCACGATCCTGACCGCGCCTCCCTTCCTCATTTCTTCAGCCTCGCTCTTAGCACGCCGTCTCTTTTGAACCTCGTTGACTAGACCCTTGAGGTATACCTCGGCCTGCACTGTAGCACTGTACGCGACGGCCGTCCAACTCCAAATATTCCGCTTTTCGGCATCTGCCCCTGCAGCGAGAAGTGTGCGAAGCACAAAATAGTTGCCAATGCTGCTGGCAAAGTGGAGAGCAGTGTTACCATCGATGTCGGCGGCTTGGACGGCAGCGGTTGCCCCGCCCGGCGCATATGTCAACAAGATTTGCACTACTGTATCGTGACCACCTAAACTAGCCTCCATGATCGCATCGCGACCCCGGATATCGCGTCGCGTAATAGTTGAAGGGTCGTTTTCGGAGAGAAAGTGAACAACTTCGGTGTGGCCTTTGGAAGCGGCTAACATCAGCGCAGTCTGATGGTGTTCGTTGAGGGCAGGGGTGGGGTCCTCGTGGCCACACTGGACCAGGACTTTGCAAATCTGAAGGTAGCCCAGGCTGGCGGCAACGTGTAGATTGGAGTTGGAAAGACCAGCCGGAGAGGTTTCAGGGTTGTGTATCAGCTTCGGATGCGATTTTATGATTCGTTGGACGAGGATGGCATCATTGACCTGGACTGCCCGTCGAAGGCGCTGCGATGGCTCGATCCTGGTGCCAGTACTTGTTGATCAGCGCAAGTTCGTTCGAGGAGTTCTTTAATGGGAGAGCATTTTTGGTCCCCAGGGAGTGGTGAACTACTGACATCTTTCCCTAACTACAGCAAGTGGGTAGCCGCAAGTTGGCAACCGGGATGTCCCAGAAGCCGTTGCCTCGGGAATCTGTTGAAGTTGCAGTTCAAGGAACTCGCCAATTACTAGGATAGACTTGGGGTCTGGTAGTTCAGAATATCGCGTTGGCGATTGAGATGGTCATGTGGCAGAAGAAGGTGAACAGTGAGGGTTTTGGATTTGAACCTCTCTTGGGTGCAGAAGTCGCAAGGTCGTTTACGTAGTACTTCATCACGACCTGAATGAATGATGTTGCTTTCGGTTTCTTATCGATAGGGACAAGGAGCTGACCGCATGGCGCGGAAGGTGTTGCCCCACCTACTACAAGCAACTCGATGATCAACAGGTAATCTTGCGACGAAATATTGTCATAACGACATACCCTATCTGGCGACATATATCTATCTGGCTTACCACTTGACGACATACCACATAACATGTTTGGGCACACAATCTACACTTTTAATGCTGCTAATCGCGTTGACCCCCATTTGCAATGGATCCTAATTGCATTGCCAACTCTAAAAATACTACATGTTCAATTATCGACAAAGGGCCGAATTAGATATTGAAACGGGGTCAAGCAGTCAGTAGGATATCACCGCCACCTAACACTCTGGTTAGACGGCTCCAGCTCTAACGAATTCCATCTGAGGTCTGATCAGACGAAGCCCGTAGTGCTGGTTGTAGAAGCTTCGCTCCTACAGGTCTTGCGACTCTGAGTGCACAAGTTGGTCGGATGTGTTCTCTGATGGTCCTCTGGTGGGATGAATCTCAAAGGAAGATGCTTGCCTCTGGTAGTCGAATTGAAGCTATCACTGGCATTCGGTTAGTCTGATCAGGACAAAATGAAATCTCCAGTAGTTAAGGCTAAGATAAAGGCAAAAGAATGGATTCTCGAAAGTTATGTCTAAATGTATAAGTGAATAAATGAACTGAAGTCTAAGTGATACCCTAAGAAAAGAAGATGACTGTTAACTACAAGAAGAAGATGAAAGAAGATGAGATGAAGATTAAGATGATCCGTCTCTACGTACTTCTTGAAGAAACGAAAAGAAAGTCCTCCCTGCTGCCCCTGTCACCTATTTACACTGATCGGCCTTGCCGCACTACAATATTTAGATATTTCAAGAAGTATGTTAATTTTGGTTGGCTCTCTTACTAGGCCTAAATTATTATTCAAGAAATGCATCTATCTCCAATTGCGCATCTGGCCGTATTGACTGCATTCACTTCTCTCTTCTTTGATATCTTCCTTGTGGATGTAAGGTTAATGATACGAAAAGGTAGGGGGACCCACTGGTTAGGTGAATCCCATTCAATTAGATACTATAACGTTGCGCACTGCTGCATTATAGTATCCTCCCCCCGAGGTGCACGCATCAGTTAGCGACGACCTTATTTGGATCTGGTTTAACTTGCTGGCTCACTTCAGGGGCTATCTTCTCGAGCTCAGTCTTCTCTACTTATTTTCGCTGCGAAGAAGGGCGACTTCGGCTAAATACTGAGCGATTGGGTTGCCCGCTTAGACACTAGTATATAAGTATCCTGAGAAATACCGTGAGAGGCGTTACTAAGCTAGCTCAAATAGCTTCTGGTCTGGTAGAGTTCATTTATAGCTCTCATCTCATCTAGCTATCTTATATATAGCTACAGGGTAACCCCCAATGAGGGCATGGATCAATAGCCTCCATATAAATCCAGTGTATATGTATGTGGTACAGCTATCTAGTATTAATAAACGCTCTTAGTTGGCCCTAGGCTTAGTCTCTAGTAGGAATATCTAGACTAGCAATTTTCATTAACACGGTTCGACTACCCTTCGCTATCGCCGTATACTTCCACTCTGGCCTCAGGGAACCACTGCTCTTAGGGATTTCTACCATTATACACGTATATAGGGGTGCTGAGACCAGAGACTAAGCCGGAATATTTGAGGAAAGGGACCTAGTGGTGTTAGACTTACCTACGCGTGCTATACGTGCAGCTGTCGAATATCACGTGTGTCCAATCGAGTAGTCAGCAGTGCGTAAGATTGTATATGAATGAGGTGTGTTCTTGTCTCTGTCTTCTGTTCTCGCGAACTCCCGTTGCTCTGCCTTTTATAGATGCTTTAGAACATGTCGGTAACTTTGGTGTTACTTTTGAGAAGAGGGGTTCCTTTCGCCTTCTGAACTTCAAGTGACAATAGTCTTCTCTAGTGCCATATTATTTCTGAACCTAGGAACCAGGTGCCCTATCTGACAGCAGCTGACGTGCATATGACCGTGCCTTGGTAATCTTCACCTTCCTAGATACTAGCCTTATCCATATTTCACTCGTTCTTGGGGTCGATGTTGTACTTGCGACGTATGCGCTCGAGGCGGTTTTAGAAGCCGCGAAACTACGTCGAATTCGTCGCTTGTATGCTTCAGGCCTCGAAACGGCAGCCAAATTTGGTTCGATACAGGAATGACGTAATATAAGCGTCTAATCTAAGAAATACCGATTAGCGTAACCTCTCCTTAGGCATATATTATTTCGTAAGCGAATTCGGTCGCATAATACTTAGAGGGAGCTTGTCTGCACCCCTCTCTTTGTAGGATACGGTCAATGATAAGCTCCTCTTGCTCTGGTAGTAGCCTCTGTAAATATGGGGCGCCGTTATTATACGATTGACTAGTCTGGAATTGTCTGGTTAGAGAGTATTGACTGCTGTACGCTACATCGGCTAGTGGTAGTGGTCTGCGCATAGCCTTCACGGACAAAACAATAGCGCCCGAAACTCGCTGCTCATAATCGTCTGGGTCGATCTCCGATTCTAGCCTTTATTTTCTTTGTGGTTATGGAGAAATAAAGGGTTGAAATTGAGGGATGGGTTTTTACGTTGCGATTTCCTATTCAAAACGTGGCCATTGCGATTAGTTCATATGTCACTGGACATGAGGTGGCTTTGGCCTGTCTTTTTGCTTTGAGAGTCACGACACTCAGGTCGGACGAAGCAATGGTTATTAATAGGACTCGGCTCTAGTCACGCCTAAATATTATAGAAATGTACGAATATAACTTGCGGAGAAAGTACGGTTCTTTCTAATTTGTATTACGTACGTCGCCTGCTTATCTAAACTGGCTTGGGTATTTCACCAAAATCAGATCAGCTAATCTAGTTACACCGCAAGCTATTGTTGCAAGAAAAACTGCCCAACTAATGCGGCTGTCACCCAGGAAGTATACACATTGTTGTTTCACAATGTACAACTGCAATGAATAGATGGTTGTTCATTCAAAGCCAAGTATCCCATTCGCCTTCTCCGTAACCGTCTGTGCCCCAACGGTATCATTCGATGCAGGCACCAACTTTTCCAATCCCGCAGCGCGAAGCCCTTGAACTTGTGCATAAGACCGGAGCCAGTCAGTTGTAGGTCGGTTGACATGCTCACTCTCGCCCTTTCCACCCGGGAAATCCGGACTTGGCGTACCCTTCATGAAGGCCTCGCGCGACTGCCGCATATGCCTCGCGTTGAGTTCGGTCACGGGGCATACTGGAATGTACAGGACGCTGGAGTCGGTTTTGCCGTTGTGCACGTTGTCGACAGCGTGGATGGCTGGTGCGATTTAGCTATTGTCTTGGAGAAGAAACTTGAATGGGCTTCAGGGGGAGAATGACTTACTGTCGCAGTGCCAGACAACGAAATCTCCCGGACGAATCCAGGGCATGTGCACCATAGTCTTGTCCAGATCAAGATGTGGATGCAATGTCGTGCTCAGCTCTTGCCCAAAGCCAGGTTCCGCTCCTTGCAACGCACTAGTCATGTTCTCTCCAGCAAAATCCCAGTTCTTCTCATCCAGGTACTCCTCCCGCGTAACTTCCTCCACTTTCTTGACTGCTTGGAAGAATGGCCTCAGGAGCATGTACACGGTAGACAGTTTCATGTTGGGGTAGACCTTCAGCGTGCCCTCGCCTGGTCCTGTCCAGCTCATGCTTAACCATCCCTGGAACATGCGGAACATGGAACACGCTCCAAGGCCGTTGTAGTTGTCACTAACGGCATCGACTCTCGTGCTGGCGTCCCAGGGATCATAAGACTCCCAGTTGCCCTCGAAGACTTTGTCGTAGACGCCGCCTAGACCGTAGCCGTGTTTCTCCCAGCGCTCGACACTGCCGCCGTCTATGTGTGGCCCAAGTGCGAAGCTCGCGTCCCCTGGCTGGCGAATTCGGAGGCGATCTGCGTATGAAAGGGCCTGCGAGATTGAAATTTCGCTTTTGGGGTCTGATGTGTGCCAGAGGCTCATCAAAGCTGTCTGCGTTTTGAGCAGGTTCGGATGGGCTCGTGCTTTTAGTTGAGGTGCAGACCAGTACAGTTCATATACTTGCGGGTTATTTTGAGGGAACGCTGGCATAATTAGAATTCTGCTTGATCAAATGAGTCCAGGAACATCAACCTTTGGTATGAGGGTTTTGCCTGACGTATTCCTCAATCTCGTCCTTGTATGCACGCGCTTCCTTCTCGGGCATAATCCCTCTAACAACAGCAACACCCCGCTTTTTGAGCTCGCTCTGGAGAGTTACCAAGCCATTGTCCAAGTTTTTGAAGTCAATGGAAGGTACTACGCTGGGTCCTGCTTTGGCAATAGTCTCGTTTTCAACCTTGAGCTGTCGCAGCACTTGTTTCCAGCTCTCGATGACACGGGCCTCATTTCCGCCGATAAGGCTCTTTTTGAGGTCCAGAAAACGTTCAGGTAGGGGTGGTCGGCTGGTTTTGGATAAGGATACAAATGAATCTGAGATATCACCTTCCCGCTTGGCGGTGCTGGTGGTGGGTAGTGTTGCAGACATTGCTATCGGTTTGACTTGGTTCACCAGCGGGGTCAACCTTCGAATTGATACAGCGGCCATGTTGATTAAAGGTGGTGTGATACAGTCGCAATCAATGTGGCTGTCGGCTTCCTGAAGGTTGTGTTCACAATGCGTCTCTGTCAATTTAAAGCATTTGACAACCACCAGTTCTCATAGGCGGGGCGGGCATTAGGAACTAGGCGGACCAACTCTTTTCGAACACATCGCCGCATCTAGACACTATGCGACGAACCACACCTTCTCCAGATTTCGGCATTCAAGCACGAATCGGGAACCAAGCATATCATATTTGAGGCGGGGATATGTTGTGGCAGGAGGGATGATGCCAAGCATGGTTGCCGCATACTCTAGATTCTCGGGTTACCGGCTCTGGAGGTCGGCGAATTGCGCGGAATATCCCGAAATGGGTAATCCGCTCCCTTTCCTCTCCGCGTTTGAGCCTCCACAATTGACGACTCATTCTCCATTTTTGCGAACTTCATCCACAGCTAAACTTTGTCGCGCCGCCGCCATACTTGACTTGTAATGTGGCCGAGGGGCTAATCCAGTGCCTTCCCTATTGCATTAATTACGTTTATTATACACCCGGATTAGACCCACCATCCTGGCCTCGTTCTACTCATGACGACGAGCTCCACCAACATGGTCAAATTTGTCGAGTCTGACTCGTCGGGCCTTCCTCTGAAGCGGAAACAGGTGTCTCAAGCCTGCCTTTCATGCCGGAGAAGGAAAGTAAGCAGGCTGCTGTAGTGAGATGCTTCGCTCGAGTTGCTGATCGTCAAACACAGAAGCGATGTGTGCACGAGGGACAGTATAGCTCCGAGGGCACGGCTCAGCTGCAGGATTCGGTATCTCCGCCCCGGCCGGGTCAGCACCCGGTCTCACTTGCGACCACCGTGTCCAAGATCTCGCCTGCCAACTCGTGGCCCTCGGAATCTCCACGGAGCCAAGAGAATCGCACCTCGCGCTTTGTTGGCGACTTGAACCCAGAACACCTGCTCATCGAAGCTACAAGCCCACACTCAAGCCGCGACTTGTCGGTAAGAGGGGGCATTGGAGTATGGCAAATCAAACGAGGAGAGACCTCGAATGCGACATTGCCACCCTCTGCTCAACCCGGACCGAACCAGACTCTAAACGAAATCCTAGTTTCTCATGCCAAGTCCAGATGTTTGCCCTGCGTTCCCCCGCCTGCCACCTGGACAGCTTTGAGCCAGATCTACATCGAAAGGCTAGACCCCCTCTTTCCTGTTGTCAGTAATTACACGGCAGAACTTCCAGACAACTCTGTCTCGGCTATTGTGGTCAAACAAGCCATATGCCTGGCAGCATCTGCCGATCCCGATGCAGCCGCCCATCTTCGGTTGCGACCCCATGGGCCTGTGGTTAGCCGGTACGAATTCTGTGGCACGCTCTCTGCAGCCATCCAGGGAACACTTGATGCTGGCCTCATCACAGATCGTATATGGCTCATCCGTATTCTACTGTTATTCTCCATGCATGTACAGCCCTCCAGCTCTGAAGAAGCAGATCTCCCGACATCTGTTTTTGCCAAAGCCGTCCATCATATGCATACACTTGGCCTTCACATCGGATTCAGCAAGGAAGATGCCGACTACGAGCAGATTCAGACTTTGTTCTGCTGCATATGGGCTTTGGACCGACTCAATGCTGCTCTCTACGGCCGAGCTTGTCTAATCCACGAAAGGGACATCGGCTGGGATTTCAACGAATGCATTGAACAGCAACCTCCTCCCTTTCGACTTTACCTGATGGTTACTCAACTCTTGAACCAAGTCATTGGCCTATATCGTCCAGGCAAGAACCCGATAGAGGAGCCGATGGTCATTGACCTGCCCATATCGGAGCAGCTGATACTCGATGCTGACGCTATAAAGGTAGCCAGCCCCCTGCTAGGTATGTTCTAACTGTCTTTTCCTTGCGACAGGACCAAGCTGACCGAGCTTAAGCAACTATCGAGATATTATACCATTCGGTATCGATACTTTCGTGTAGATATCCACCTGGTGGCAGCCCCGGCTCTACGGTTCTCCCTCCCCGTGGGACCAACAGTCGCCGGTCACTTTCGGCAGACCGAGTTACCGACATCATCCAGGAGGAGTTTCCCGGACAGATTTCATACATGCCCCTGATACCATACGCCGTTTCCCTGTCGCTGAGCGTGTCCTATCGAAAGATGCGGTACAGCAGCGTGCCTATGTTCCGCCTTCGCGGCAGACGTGCATTCGCAGCCAATACGGCTCTACTGAAGAAGCTTGGCGACACATTCTTCACCGCGAAGACGATGGCAACCATGGCGGAACAGGTGCTCCAGGAGATGGACAAGGCGGTGGTATCGATAACCCAAGAGACAAGTACAGTGGACAACAGCACACCGGAAAAGGAAAAACCCCAGTCAGAGGCTCAGCCTTCCACAGAGCCGATGAATATGAATCCCGCAGCCCGGAGTTTTCGAGCCAATCCTCTTGTGCATGACAACGGTATGAACGGTACGTCGATTTTTTTCGCAGCTCCCGAGCTCGACGTCTTTGGACATTTTGATCCATCCTTCAATCTTGGCGCAGTGGATGCTGCCCTCGAAGCAAATCTCGACTTTGGGACTTCCTCCAACTGGTATGACTGGCAACAGACCTGGGGATGAAACAAGCGAAGACAATCAACCTCTTCTACAAGATTTGTCATACGAGGGAGGAGACTTCGCCAACAGTGGCTACAGGCCTGACGTACCAGATGTGAATAGGGAACTTAACCTGGCATGATGGTTGTCTGCGAAGATATGGTTCAGCCAATTTTAAGACTTGGAGTAAGCGTCGCAGACATTCACTTTCAACTTAATGGGATAATCTGCTCGAGTACGCGTCTGTCGAGGCCTAGATGGTGACGGCGCATGATCACTTGACGCCCCGCACCGTCCCCGCTTTCAACCACTTTCCCTAATATACCCTTACTCCAACACCCATACTCGAGGACCCGGGCAACAAAGCGCTGGATTTTTCATCGAGCCGACAAAGCGTAAAATTTTCTTTTCCGTCTGGAATTTCCCGGTTTAATTTCTTTGTTGGCCAAATTTGAAAAGAAAAGATCGCCCCAGATGTCTCCCAGAACCACCACGGTGACTCTCCCTCAAATCGCCAAGATGATTGACCACTCCCTGCTACATCCAACCATGACGGACGCCGAGATTTACGCCGGCCTCGAACTAGCTAAGAAGCACCAAGTCGCCGCCGCCTGCGTGAAACCTTATAGTGTCCCCGTAGCCAAGGACGCCCTCGACGGTACTGGGGTCCTCATCTGCGCCGTCATCGGCTTCCCGCACGGCAACAGTGCCACACACATCAAAGTCACCGAAGCCATTGATGCCGTCGAGTGCGGCGCCCAGGAAATCGACATGGTGGTCAACGTGGGCAAGGTCCTCGGCGGCGACTGGGAGTACGTGACCAATGAGATCCGGTCAATCAACACATCCGTGACCAAACTCGGCGCGGTTCTTAAAGTCATCTTCGAGAATGATTACCTCCAGGACGAGCACATTGTTTACTTGTGCAAGATCTGCTCGGTGATTTCGGTTGCGTTTGTCAAGACGTCGACTGGGTATGGATTCGTCAAGCGTGAGGACAATGGGTGTTATTCGTACAAGGGAGCTACAAGGCCGCATCTAAAGCTCATGAAGGAGAATTTGGGACCCAATGTGCAGATCAAAGCCGCAGGACGGATCAGGACACTGGATCAAGTTTTGTGTGCTATGGAGTTGGGGGTCGCGAGGATTGGAGCTTCGGCTACGGAGAGTATTTTGGAGGAGGCGAGGGCGAGGGGGATTGGCGAGATGCCTGTGGAGGTTCAGATACAAGGGTGAGGATACAGTTTAGGGGTATATACACCAGTGAGTGGGTACCTTACTTAGCTTGGAGAGAATGATTACAATGTCGGCCTATAAGATTGAAACTCAATTGATGCAAAGCAACGAATTGTGATCGGGTGATGACAAGGTCGCGTAGGTTTCCGAAAAGACTTGAATCTACTGATCATCGAATTCTTCGGATGTTTCGGATATTACGAAACTTGCAATGCCGACATTCGACCTACTTTAGACGTACTGGAGCCTCTCGACTTCCGTCACAAAAGCTTGTGCCCGTTGATTTTCCATGGCAGTACACATAACTCTAATAGCATGATTTCGTTATCCGATTGGAACATCATAATCGCCTGGATTGTATACTCAATCCTCGGCCTCCTGTCATTATATCTCTTTCGCTTGAATCGCCTCCTGCAAAAAACACCCGACGAAGTCCGGAAGTGCTCGTGTTCACGATGGACGCCAGAACTACTCGCGAAAACTTATCAAGAAATCAGTGAGAACCCGATTGACTATACGAGTCAGCTTCCACCAAAGATGGACCGCCGCTACATCGTCACCGGTGGCTCCGGTGAGACGCCCTGTCAAACACACAGCTACCGAGTGGTGCAGAACTAATGCAGTAAAATAGGGCTCGTGGGCGGATTCATAGTGCTTCAATTGTTAGCTCGCGGCAATTCACCAGAAAGTATACGGATCCTTGATATACGAAAGACCGAGCGAAATGACATGATCACAGGGCCTGCCACCGAGGTCGATTTCGTGCAGACTGACATCACCTCGGCTGCCTCTGTTGAAGCTGCATTCGCCAAACCATGGAATCCCTCCGTGGCCAACCTACCCCTGACCGTTTTCCATACTGCAGCTGTCATTATTGCCTCAGACAGGTCTGCTTATTTCTACGGGTTTCCTGAAGCCGTCAATGTCAAAGGCACCAGAAACGTGTTAGCTGCAGCACGGCAAGCTGGTGCAGATATCTTCAGCTACACTTCGTCTGCATCAATTTGCGTACGACCAGTTGAGACCTTTGTCCCACCTTGGGCCAAGTTTCCTCGGCATATCTGGCAGATGTTAGACGAGCAGGACTTCTCCAGACCCCTGAGATCGCGAGAAGATTTCTTTGGAAATTATCCCTATTCAAAAGCAGTGGCAGAGCGACTCGTCTGTGCCGAGAACGATGAACTTTTCCGGACGGGTTGCGTTAGACCGGCCAATGGCGTCTACGGCAATCCAAGTGACAACACAGTTGGCACCCCGCTAAGCAAAGACATATTTCCAACGTGAGTTACAAGCCTTTCTTTCGAAAACTGATAACCAAACGTGCTGCAGATGGGTACCCCATATTGTCCAGAGCTTCGTTCATGGTGCCAATGTGGCCATCGCACACCTGCACCACGAGGCTGCGCTCGTGAAGAAGGACTCGCCACAAGCTGGACGACCATTCGTGGTAACCGATCCAAACCCTCCGATCACCTATGATGATCTCTATTCCGCAATTTCCACCCTTTCAATCCATCCGTTTCGACTCATTGTCCTCCCACCTGTCATCATGCTGCTGATCTCGTATTGTATCGAGTGGTATTCTATTTTGCCGCACAAATTCCCGCTGTTGAAGAATATTCTACCAGAAATAAGAGGCGAGGCAAAACATCTGAAGCCCGGACTCTTCTCGATCACTACGCATCTGATAGGCTCGGATGCGAATGCCAGGAAGCCAGTCGAACAAGGGGGACTAGGATACAGCGGCGTACTTACCACGTTACAGGGCATGACTTTGGAGATACTTGAGTGGAACAGGGAACATGCCGCAGGGCAGGGAGGAAAGACGAGGAAGACGTATACGACATCAGTGTCGCTGGCTGACAGAATCCAAGAGCTTGCATCCGTGGGTATCTCCAGCCAGAGCGTGGACTTAGGGGTACAAACTTCCCGAATGTGGAGTTGAAAGGTGAAAGCCGGTTCAAGTGCATCCGAGGAAATGAAGACTTGCTGCACAAATTCGTGTTGTAATTCGGTGCTTCTGGTATTCCGGATGCAAGGGCGGACCCCTCAGAGCAGGAGCCCCCCAAAAGAGAGAGGAAATCACCTGGAAGCGGCCCGTGTCCATCACCACTTCTAGGTTAAATACTCTTCTTCAGAGTATGGAGTACTACGCATGACTGGTCCTACTCCGTATAATAGAAGGATGGGAGATATGCCACAAAATTTAGATTAGTGTCTCCATATTTCTAAACGATTTTTAATATTTTGCTCATCATCCCTTTTGGCTGTTGTATTCTCAGAATTGAAGTCCCGAAAATTGTATGGCTGGGGACGATATCTGTCTATTGCTGGGCTTCAATGAATCAGCTATGCAAAACAGCTTAGCAGTGGGTGCCCGAGTGCACTGTGGCTCATTGAGAGGCGGATGTTTTGGAGATATATTGTTGAATAATTTGACATTTAAGTGCTTACGTTTGGTAACTCCGTACCTCAGTTCAGTCTGGGCCCTGGCGGGCAGGGACAGGATGCACCAGCAATTGGAATTATTGCAAGCTATATTGAAGCATTGAATTTAATACGTCTCTGCCCTTCCAAGTAAAAAGACTGAAGATGGTCAGAAGGGCCAAGTACAGAAAAACGGGCCTCTTGGCTGCGCATTTTGAGAGTGCTGATAACGTCGGAGCATAACTGGCTGATAACCAGAGGATATAGTGCAGAACTGGCTGTTGTAGCCAGAAGTGGAAAACCAACAGCTGGGGGTTGAGCCCCAGACAAGTCACATTCTTTCAGGGCTATCTTTTGATCTTTTGGTTTTTTTTTTTGGTTTTAATTCTACTCCCATGGATGTATTGATTTTTTTTCTTGAAATACTAACGGGGCTTCTAAGTTTTAATCAGATCTTGTTTGTTCTTGATGAAAATGACCAACGCATTGGTTTTGTGTTGCCCTTAAGGCCTCATTGCACCATCTGCTCCGGCCGCCCAGTCGTCCCCACTCTTTTGCTTACCAAAAGATCGTTGCGATGGCAGAATTGACACCAACCTTTCCACACATGACTTCCTCTGACGCGTTCGAGATCCAGGCATTTCCTCTCCAATCCTTCGGAACCCCTGTCCCTTCGTCAGTGTATTCGGAAGAACGCGAATCACAACACTTGCCCACCACTGATATCCAAGGACATTGAGAAGCGACAGGGATATGCCAAAGTACTGATGGAACATGAAATCAATGTCAATGTAAGTCGGCCCTATACACAGTTCTGTGACCTTGACAGAACAGGTGCTAACCGCAGAATGTTGTAGTTCGAACTACGTAATACCGAATACCATGACAGAGGAGGTTTCACATGAGTTAATCGACGCATATTCGACACCATTCTTCGCCGCGCTGGAGGGCTCGAATGACGATCCAAGAATTGGCTTGATGCTACAATCGTCTACAGCAGCGAATTGGTAGAAAGGGCAGAGGGTGTATTCGAGGGTAACCGGCGTCCAGAGGATGATTCAGACGAAGTACGAGGTTCGCGATTACATCGCTCATTTAAGTAGAGGAGACACGGCAGGATCAAAGAAGCAAGACATCAACACAAGGGATGGCGGGTCTGTCACGCCATCATTTCCTGTGACTGTGGTGTTCGTTATGCCATTTTCAACCCGCCAGTTCTTGCAAACACACGTAAACTTCAATACTTTCATAGATCTCATTCCTCCAAACCGCAGCCTATTTCCATACTCAAGCAGCTTTTTCCGGCCGTCTATTATTGTGCGTAGTTACCGAACTAACAGGTCATAAACAGCCAGCTTTGCATGTTTATTTCGAGAATGACGGTAATTGGGGAAGCTATTTGGAGTCATACTCCCTTGAGTTCTGGATGCAGTTGAACCGGGGGGCTGAGTTGGCCGGGGACCATCGCTACCGACGCCGCCAGAAGAATCTAGTTAGCTACACCTCTCTAGCGTCATCAAAGATAGCAATTTGGCCACGTTTTGGCTGATGGTGTAAGCACTAGAAGGCAGGGAGAATATTAATGGATTATGGCCAATGAGCTCGTACGAAACTCGCTAGCAAAGCCATACATAGAAAATCTGTATTTGGCAACATTTTAGGAATGCGAATGCAGCCTTTCGCAGATTAAACCAACTTTATTAGTGATGGCTGTGCAATCAGCAGTTGGCGCCGACGACGAACCCCCGAGCCGTGTGACTTCATGAAGTGGGTATAAGAACTCCCATCAACACGGTTAAGATGTAGCTTCCTCATCATCATAGAACACAAACAACTTTTCCTAACAATTTTCTTATTTCCCTTTTTTCTTTTTTTTCTTTTCCTTTCTTCGCTTCTCTCAGACCCGCATAATATTACACAATAATATTCAAAATGCAGTACAAAACCACCATCCTCGCCCTTCTCTCCGCCTCGGGCGCCCTCGCAGCCCCCAAGGGCATCAGCAGCCGCTCCATGACGGACAACACGGTCCGCGTCATACTCAGCAACCAGGCCACCGAGACGGGCGCCCAGAACGCCTTCCAGGGCGGCGTCCGCCAGTACCAAGCCCCCGCCACCAGCGGCCCCTTCCAGACCATCGAAATCGAAGTCGGCAAGGATGTCCAGAACCAGGAGTACCGTTGCCAAGCCCTCGATGAGGCAGGCAAGCCCATCATCGCGGTCCGCGGCACGAACACAGATATCACCTTCTCGGACGCCGACAAGGGGCCCTGGACCTTCCGTGAGCCCGCCGAGGTCAGCGAGGTCGTCTGCGACCCTACTTTCGTCAAGATTGGCTCTGATGCCCTTGAGATCCGCGTTGTGCTCAGCAATCAGGCTACCGAGACGGGATCGCAGACTGTTTTCACTGCTGGCTCTCGCCAGGAGAAGCCCCCCGTAGGCAGCAAGGGTCCCTTTGAGACGGTTGAGCTCCGTGTCGGCGAACTTGTTGACCCGGCTCAGCGTTGTCAGATCTTGGATAATGCTGGAAACCCCATCACTGTTCTCAGGGGCGCGAATGTCGATGTAACTTTCTCCGACGCGGATAAGGGAGAGTGGACCTTCCAGCAGGACAGCGAGGTTAGCAGTATTATCTGCGACCCTGAGTTTGTCGCCGCTAGCAAATAAGCAATGATGATATTGCTGATACACGACATTGGAACGCATGGGTTGGTCATGGGGTTATATGGAGCATAGGGGGCTTGGTGGTTTGCATTACATATTTTCGTGCATTTTTTGCGAAATAATTCTGCATTTGATTTTAATGTGCACAGCAAAGGAAAGATACCACTCCATTCTCGTCAATAATAACTGTATTCAATGGTGATCTCTACATACAATTTCTTACGTGAGTACATGTATCATTATTCTACTAAGAAAGGGGAATGGCATAAAGCTGCCTGTAGCTTTGATAGTCTTGGTGGATATGGTTGGTTGATATGGATTGATAGAGGGCTACGAGGCAGGCAGGCAGGCTTTGTAGTAATTAGGGACCCCTCGGGGCCAACTTGGGATTGGTTCCTCACGCGCCTTCATAGTACCAATACAGCCCCTAGTACTTCGGTTTCGATGGCAGAGTGCTTAGTAATTAATTATCTGAGGGCCCAGTGCAGTGATGGAGCCACAAAGAGGTAAGGCCTCGGTGTCACTTATGGCTAAGCCATTTGTTGTCCCATTTAGCCTGTAGTTTCTCCAGCTGATGGGATCGTTTCAGAATTATTCCGTCATGTCTTCGTCTTCTCTCCAGCCTTGAAGACAGATCCCCTTGCCTTGTGCAAGTCATCTAAGGGCGTATGTTGGTTTACAGCCACGTTTACAAGTCGCATAGCCACACACCTTCGGTGGGATATTCATTCAACCAGACCCAGATCAGATCTAGAGCACGTCGTGGTCATAGACGGACTCAGCTAGAGACATGAATCAATTATCTAAAACCCGAACTGGTCAGGTCTACGTGCAATACAATCTCTTGCCTCTGGTATGTCTCCTCTACGATTTTTTCTCTCTCGCCAATTTTTTCCCTTCGCCGATTTTCTCCCTTCGCCGATTTTCTCCCTTCGCCAATTTTTCCCTTCGTTCTTCCCTCTTGGTTTATCCACCACGATTAGTCATCCAGCATAAACCGTCGAGATACCCACTGCGTCTTATCAGAGCAGCCGTGTCATCCTTCCGGGAGCGCGGTGATCCATTGGAAGATGCCATTACCTGCAGGTGAATACCTTAGTTAGCGTGGGAAGAGGATATTGAGAAAGTGGCTGCTAAAAGTAGAATGGAAGCTGCTTACAGAATAATGACCGAGGTGAAGTGCTTCTGGATGTCTCCGATGATCTGGTCGATGTGCGTAGCATACGTAATGTCGTGGGAACCATTCTGGCCGCCGCTACCACCATCTAGCATTCCACCAACTCTGCCCTTGAGATCCCAGATGCACGAACCAGAGTCGCCAGGCTGCGAAAAGACTCGGTCGTTTCCAGAGATGATGCACCACTGAGAACACACACGGTTGACATTGACACGGGTCACGCTTCTTACTTCATTGCTGATGCCCTACGTCAGCCCTGTAGCTTTGCCTCTCTTACCCAGTCTGAGTGAATGTTCAGCCGTGATGATGTTTTCCTCCTGCGGACTGGCGATTTCTCCGCGCGGAATGGTCCCTTTGAGACGCAAGACACCATCGGCCGGTGGCACGAAGGCGTGATGGCCCAAGAAGCCGTGATTGAGCTCTTGGAGACGCTCTTGGCCCAACGTGCCCAGGAAGACTTGGTTAGCAAGGCGAACAAAGCTGTCGCCAAATCGTGGCTCGTTTAACTGGACCAAAGCATAGTCGGGCAACCATTCGCCGTCGTTGTTGGTGGCCGTGTCGGACATCTTCTTGGGCATGCGGGCAGGAGAGTAGATGACATGGCCAATGCAGCGGGCAGACGTGGCAGAGAGTGTGGCGAGATACTCTCGGAGATGCTGAGCATTCTTCAAGGCGCCAGTGGTATCTAGCGACGGATTCTTTGCCCAGAAATCGACGGTCTGAGTGACTTCATGGGTATAGTCCTCCAACTTCTTACTTCCCGGCATCAGAATCTGGACCTTGGGCTTGGAGTTGGGAACGTCATCCTTGCAGAGATCATTGTCCTTCTCATAAGCGACGTGATGGGAGATCAGAGCGCACTTGATAGGGAAGCCCTTGCGCTTGGGGTCGCATACAGATAGGTAGAGACCAAGGGATCCCTCCTTCTTGTCCGAGTCTGCGGCAGCAACGGACTGTCCGAGGGTGGAGGTGAGACTGTGATAGCGGGTACTACCGAGTGCGCCCTGGTTTAGGGGTAGGAAAGGCTGAGCATTCGCGTGCGAAGCCAAGGTCGTCACAGTGGCCTCACGAATCTCGCAATGGACATCGTGGATGCTGGCATCAGAAAGCGCGGCGCGGCACTGCTCAGCAAGCTGCAGCCCGAGGTCAGGGTCGAGACTACGCGGCTCGACTGCAACCCAGAGCACTACGGGCTTCTGATGCTGGTCATCGTAGCCAATGCGGAGGACGTCAATTGATGTCCACTTGGTCCCGGCGAGAATGCCCACGATGCGATTCTGCAGCTCCGTAGTGTAGTTTCCGACGAGGGAATGGTCAGAACCGATGTTGGCGATGCGCTTGGGTAGCAGATGCTGATCCTTGATGATTGGCTCCCACAAGGTATCACGGAAGTTGCTTCGAGCCACGAGCTTAGGCTGGCTAGGGAGCCCATAGTAATACTCGTTTCTCTCCTTCTCAGATAGCGTCATTGATCTCATGCTGATTGACTGAGCCATGATTGAGGATGGTCGAGGATAGTCAAGGATGATTGCCAAGGATTGGGTTGAGTTACTTTTACCCAGAGATGTTGTTGCCAGTGAGAGCATTGGAATTATGCTCGTTGTTGTGAGGGTAGCCATTGTGCTTGCTTATGTCTATAACAGATGCAGTCAGGCTATGCTCCAAAGCGGGTTGTTCTGATGAAGGGTGTAGATTGTTAGTGAGAAGAACTGTGCAGTGCTTCCCGTTAAAAAGTTTTATCTTGTAAACCGAGTGATGCAATAAACGTAGAATGACGTCACAGGCAGTTTTTCAATAGAGGTCCCCCACAGATTGGTGGGGGCAACAAAACCCCCCACACAGATTATTTCTAAAATGACCCACCTTGAAAAGTCTGGCCCCTACCCCACTATTTCACGACGCGCTCACGTTAACTTAACAATCAGGCACATGGAAGGCACCCCTAGGAAAGTTTTTGGATGCGCTTTATTAGTAATCACCTCTAAAGAGCCCATTTCTCAATGTAGTCATATTAAACTTGAAAAAAACTTGATTTAATACACCTGCTTTCAGTTGCTTAATAATTATGAAAGATACCCCTAGATAATCTTTTACACGCGATTTATAATAAATTATTCTAAAGTCGAGAAATGCTCTTTTGAAGCGCGTGCAATATGATATATAGTTTACGGGCTAGAGTTCATTGCTCCGAGTGGATAGGCAAGGCGAAGGAAGTCCCGGCCGCCCTCCTAGACCACTGGGAGAAGAGATGGCTCTCCGGGGCAGCACAACACGACCGCCAGCGACGCGCTATCGCCGAGGAGCCGGAGGGCCCTGTGACGACTGACACATGGACGATAAGCAGGGACATCCTGACATGGCCTGCCCTGATCTGGACGAGCGCGTTCCCCTTATAATAGGAGAACGGCCAGACATACTTGTAACCCTTTCCTTCTCTTTCTTCCCTAGTTTAGTATTCAACAATAGAGATGCACTGATATGCAACCTTGATTCGTACTTATGTGCCTCTGCCTCGTTACATAATACTAAACTCAAACCTATAGTCTGGAGAGACTCAAATCATCTTAAGAAAACTGAAGACGAACGCTCGCCCTCCCGGCAAGCGTAACTGATCTACGTCTGATCAGAGCAAGAATGGCCCCAATTCGCGGAGCTAGTGTGAACCTGGGTCGAGAGGCCCTTCTACGACGAATCGCCACTAGGATTACGGATCTGGCCTTGACCAGGGAAACTCTCGACCAGATCAGAACAAACCCGGATACCTTTCGCTGTCATGTTTCGGAGGATGAACTTCTCCAGGACGAACGAGACCGTATCGCCTCGATTGGAAACCGTACCAAGCTCGCACTATACACCCCTGAAGACCAAAGACAAGACGCCATTATCGCAGACCCCTCCTCGATCGAAGCATTGGTAGAGTCTGACCAGACCGAGGACCTCGCCCGTCATGTCCGAGACCTCGCTGTTAAAGAACTGGTACACCGAGAACAGGTCGGACTGTTATGTGACCTGCTGAATCGGCTAGACACGATCCAGGGCCAGCTTGCCGAACTGTGGGAAAAGGAAGCCACGCGCTGCGCATTGTTGGAACAACAAGTTCGGGAGCTTGCCCAGGAAAAGGCCCGACTAAACGAGGACATCGTGCAGCTGAATCGGAGGGTTTCCCCCCAGACTACGACTCCTGCGGCCCAAGGCGGGGGCACGATTCGCACCTCCGATGCCGATATCTTTACCGACGACGATAGCGGCAAAGTGAAGGTTTATTTCGACCCTTGGTACTACAATCTGACCAAGTCCCTAGAGCAATACCCAACCAGATGGCCCTCTGATCAGGATAAGATGCTCCTGGTGACCCAACGCCTGGGCGGAGCGGCATCGAGGGACTTGATGCCATACCTACACGAAAACAACGCCTACCGCATTACGCATTGGCAGGGGCTGCTGGACCACCTCTACACCACCTACCACGACGAAGACCAAATAGAATCTGCCCGCGCCGAATTCCGGGGACTTCGCATGAACGACAAGGACGAGTTTCACTCGTTCAAAACGAGGTTTATGCGCCTCGCAGGGCAATCCCTCGTGCCCGCTGACTCGTACAAATACGAGTTTAACCTACGCCTCTGTTCTCGCATTAAGCTTCAGATGATCCGAGACTACGACGATTCAAGCATTGACTTTATGCAAGTCGTTGGGATCGCAGCCAAGCAGGCGAGTACACAGAAACGAATCTACGAAGAGCGGGAACGAGGCCGAAGGAGGGAACCTACGAAGAAGGACGGCCGGGAAACAGGCGGAGCCACGTCGACTGCCCCTGATCAGGCCGAGAAGACACCTAGAAGATCCAGAAGACGCACTTCAACGAACCATGGCGTAACCGAGGGCATAGGTGGGGAGGAACGACAGCGGTTGATGAGAATCGGAGCATGTTTCAAATGCAAGAAGACTGGACACCTTGCGTCCGACTGCACCGATCAGGGCTCGAGTCAAGAGCTCCAAGCTTCAATCCAGGTTATCGTACAACAATCTCTCGCTGCAGCGGTTGCTGCCATGACTCCGACGGGTAAGATGTTGGGTGCGCCCCCGCCTCGACCACGCGCCCGACGGGTTGTCGAGATAGACACGGACGATGAAGAGTCTGAGGACTCGGGAAAAGATTAGACTCCAGGAAAGATGTCTCCATCTGGAGTAAGGTGTTGACCATCGAACGATATGGATTTTCTGTTGCTGCACTGGATTTGGTGCCCCTATTAGGGGGCAGGTCCCTTTCACTACCGTGTAAGCTTACAAAAAATGGAATCGCTCTTTCTATATCTTCTTTGATCGACACTGGAGCAGGCGGCTACGCCTTTATGGATTTTAAGACAGCACGACGAGCCTATAGGACTCTTAAGGCCGAAATTATTGACGACTTTGAACCGGTGCCTTGTGGGGGGTTTGATGGCATTCCGACCCAATGGATAACTACCGCCCTAGTAACTACGCTCGAGCTAGACGGTCGGAACTTCCCAGATACAGTGTTTCTCCTGATCAAGACGGGAGGCACGCACGAAGTTATTCTAGGCCGCAATTGGTTGGCAGAACACGATATCCTCCCCGATTGCCGCCGACACGAACTGCGGTGGCCAGAGAACCTACCCCGGGACGACGAGGTGCCGTTGGGAGACAGCCCTGACCCTACAACGCATGCGCCTAGGCCTGATCAGGGAAAGACGGTTCGGCTCGAGGAGACGAAGCATTCAGAAACGACCTTTCCTGCAAGTCCAGCCGGTCCCCGACCGAACCCCCCTGAACTACACCACCCATCCCCAAATCGCGGCAAGGTTATAGGGAAGGGTCAACGCCGGAACTTAGAACGGATGGACAGGCAGCTTTACCCTCGACCCCTCCCGTCCTCTCTGCCACGGAAGAAGGACAAGGAGGGAACCCCCCGAAAGGAGGAGATGGGCATGGATATGGCCATCGTGAACGCCGTGACTTTCACCACCTGGTCTAGGCGATTACCTGATCAAGTCGGTGTAACTAGTATTTACGGAATCGAACGCGCAATTCAGGAAAAACGGCGCGAAGAAGGAATTGACGAAGACCCCTTGAAGTACGACGACGAGACACTGCGCCGCCTAGTAGACGAAATAGTCCCACGACAACACCAACACGAACGAGGAGTGTTTTCGAAGATCGAATCGGATATCCTGGCCCCAAACCGCCCTGGAGTCGACATGAATATCGAACTTGAGTCCGATCACAAACTATCTTTTAGCCCGTTATATCATATGACCTCCAAACAGCTCGAAGCGGTTCATGAATACCTTATGGACAATCTGAAAAAGGGGTTTATTACCCCTAGTTCGGCCCCATGGGCGTCGCCTGTACTCTTTGTACCCAAATCGAATGGGGGACTTCGCTTCTGTGTGGACTACCGGAAGCTGAACGCTATTACGAAGAAAGATCGGTACCCCTTACCCCTGATCGAGGAAACATTAGCTCTGGTTAGTCGCGCTCGAGTCTTTACGAAGATCGATATCCGACAGGCCTTCCACCGCATTCGCATGGATCCCGGTGCGGAAGACCTGACGACATTCCGCACCCGTTTTGGATCCTACAAATACAAGGTAGTGCCATTCGGATTGACCAATGGACCTTCTACCTTCCAGAGGTACATTAATGACGCACTTATCGACTACCTCGGCGATTTCTGCTCAGCCTATATCGATGATATCCTTATCTATTCGGATAACGAACTAGAACACGAGATCCACGTCAATAAGGTCTTACAACGACTACGGGAGCACGGACTCCAGGCAGACATCAAGAAGTGCGAATTCTATGTGACGGAAACAAAGTTTTTGGGCTTTGTTATCAGTACGAAGGGGATAGCGGTAGACCCGGAGAAGGTACGGGCTGTAGAAGATTGGGAACCACCAGACGGGGTAAAGGGCGTCCAATCTTTTCTCGGATTCTGCAACTTTTACCGAAAGTTTATTCGGGACTTCGGCCGTCTAGCCCGACCCTTGACCCGATTGACCCGAAAGGGTCAAAGCTGGAAATGGACCGAAGAGTGCCAAGCAGCTTTCCAAAGTCTAAAGGAGGCATTGCTCTCGGCGCCCGTCCTGGCCCATTACCATGAAGGCTGGGAAACCCAGGTTGAGACGGACTCCTCTGACGGGGTCCTAGCTGGGGTACTATCCCAGAAGAACCCGGAGACGGGCGAATTCCACCCCGTAGCCTACTACTCGAAGACTATGACGGATACGGAGACCCGATACCCGATTCACGACAAGGAGCTACTGGCGGTTATGGAGGCTCTGCGGCAGTGGGAGTACATGCTCTTACCGCAGAAGTTCCTGATCGTAACCGACCACGAGGCCCTCGAATACTTTAGTACGAAAAGGATGTTGAACTTCCGGCAAATAGGATGGGTAGACCTGATGTCCAAATTTAGCTTCAACCTGATCTATCGGCCGGGACGATTGAATCAAGCCGCAGATGGCTTATCACAAAAAGCGGAAGACCTTCGCACAGCACAGGCTATAAAGGAAGCAGACCGCCATAGGGCATTGTTTACCCCTATATGCCCGATTGGTCCTATAAGACGGCTATGGATTAACGCCTTGGACCG